CTATGAGTATACTGCGTCAAATATTCCGAAGACCTCCGATGGTTACAAAGAACGTATTCGAGGCTGTTAACGGCAGTGGTAGTCAATTACGAGATGACTCCAAGGCACTCTCTGAGTTTTTGCATAATCTGTTGACTTACAAGAATGCATTGATTTCGATGAATTGCATCAGTGATCTGAACTCAAGTTCAGTCCTAGTTGTAATAGCGAGATGCCTATCTACTCGACTGCAAAAGGAAGTGGGTGGAGATAAGCACTTTATTGGAGAATGGGACTATTGAGCCAAGGTTCGATGGCATTCTGAAACTGGTGAAAGAAAGTGTTAATCAAGCTATGAGCAAGTTTGGCAGTATATTGCATCTCACCCGGTGGCACAGTGATTAGGATTCTTGCCGACCATGCACATGGTCTGAGGTTTGATCCCCTGCCGACACACACCTGATATCTAGGGTCGGCCTGCGAAATTTGGGCTACCAATATCCATGCTGAAAATTCCATACTTGTACCGAATATACACTGTGGAGTCAAGCTGTAATAAAAAATAAAAAATAAAAGAATAGAGAAGTCTGAGAGCAAAAGTCAATCACTTATGTGGAAAGGGATTCACAGAAGTGGATATTTTTATATTTCTTTATTTGTTGCACAAACATTCTTTATAGCAGATTGTTCCGATGGACTCTAATGTCAGAAAGAACAAACACACTGTAAATTCATCACACCAAATTATGTGCAATTTATATGATAACTTATCCATGCCTGTACAATTGGTATGTTCCTGCTTAAACAGGAAGAAATACATTATTATCGAGAAAGCTATATGGTGTCTAGTAATCCATAAAAACTTAGTGAGTGTAACAGCTTTCGTGGGACATCCCCAACAGATAGGTTAGAAGCTGCGACACAAACACGGTTGTGTTTTACACGTTTGCAAAAAGTGCATAAAAAGGCGAACTGTGAAGAATTGACCAAGTTTAGTGGCAGGCTAAATGTGAAATCAAGGTCTGACTCCTACCCGTGTGACGGTATAGATGAGGTGAGGAAGCCTCTAGTTGCAGCTGGTAAGCCATCGTCGAATGGAGTGTCACAGACGACACCGCGGTTTGTGCAGGAGAAGAGAGTTACAGTTTCAGACTCCAGTTCTGACTCCACAAGTTTTCAAGGTATTACTGGTCAGAGTAAAAGTATAAAACCTTCTAGGATTTGTGAGGAAGAACCCGAATTCTCTACTGCTGTTATTAAAGACTTTGAAAGTGATGAAGTCGACCAGATGGACGACGGTAAAGTGAATATTTGTGATAATGATGGTGATAGTGCACTTTTGTCTTTGGTTGATCATGATGAGATGAGGGGAATGCCTACTAATGCTGAGTTGAACAAAGGTTCTGTACAACTTGAACGTGAAGTAGAACTAAGAGCAGATGTGGTGGTAGAAGGTATGAGTACTCATGAGACCGTCAGTGTAATTTATCAGCGTGTTCGCAACTATCGACGGATGCCAGTGCTAAACCGGAGCTAATGATAAAAGACAGCAGTGGTGGTAATCTTGCAGTCAGACAAACTTCTAAAGGCCGAACAGCAACAGCTGCTGATGCACCGCTAAGTTAATCAACTTGCATCAAACAGTCGTCGTCGGTGTTTTCATCCACAATTACAGGGTCGTCCATCAACTCATGTGGCATGTGCTGCGACTATACTAGTATCGGTGCAACTGAAAAGACGAAAGGTATTGCTCAGTTTAGTGAGGATAAGCCAAGTGTGTACGAGAGGGTAATTGTTAAATTGACTGGCGTGTATAAGGGTTTTGCAGCTTTCAAGTTACTATTTGAATGTTATTTACTTCGGTGTAAATTACTCTGTACCTCCTCTTGGTTTGTCAGATACGCCGTATGTTTGTTAGTCATCTATATTCCAAGATACAATGACATGGGCGTGTCACCGTTCAGATTTGAGGATATAGCTGATAGAAGGAAATCAGCAAATGAACTCAACGACCATGTTCCAACCTAGGGCGTCAACCTGAGAAGGGTTGTAGGCGTACTGCTGTAAGTCCTACAATTCTTCAAAGGGTAGCGCATCAATGAGCAGTCCAATGTGCTTGGTGTGTGATTTTGTACGTATGTTCATATTGCATATACTGAATTGATATCATCTGTCATCTAGCTGTTGGTAATTCTGTTTGTGCCCGGACGACTTCCACTTGGATCATCAACCTGAGAAGGAATGTAGGCGTACTGCTGTAAGTCCTACAGTTCTTCAAGGGTAGTTCGTCAAGGCAGAATCCACAACATTTGATGTATTGATTGAAAATATGTTTGTGTTAAATAATTGTGTGAGTTCCAATTATTGTAATTGTTGGTTAATCTTGTTTGTGTCCGGACATTCCACAAATTACAATCGTCAACCTGTGAAGGATTGCAGGCCTACAGGTGTAAGTCCTGAGATTCTTCAAAAGAATTCCATCAAGATATGATCAGCGAGTTTGTGTGTACTGTTTGTATATACGTGTGGTGTGTCATATCAATTGGTGGTGTTTTGGATTCATTGTGTTTACTCGTTGTTTTCGTACCTTGTTGTTATTGCATAATTTTGTTAAAATTTTCGTCGTGATTACTTCTGAAGTTGTTTCCAGTCTTCTAAATCCGTGAATGAATTGATTGATGTTAAGGACAGCAGATGGGTCGTATACGCTGGGTAGGCTAGTTCTGAGAATGACATGCACACGGAAATAATTGTTATTTTTGGTCCCACACGCCGAGGAGTACAAGTGTAGACGGCTGAGGCTTGCATACGTCACCGTTACTAGGACTGAGACAGAATGAGTGACAAGCGATTGCAGTGGTAATTGGTAGTGAGTAGATAAGAGGATGTGCATAGATTATCATGAGTTGGTGCTATGGTCACGTTGCATTCTGCAAGAGTGATTCTAGCAAGTGGCGATCGTGTTGCAAGACGTCCAGAGGATGCCTTTAACTGGAAGGCGTAGGTCGTCGTTGAGGAGTGAGATTGTGCTGTGGGTATGCCTGTGGTGTGTTGCCTTTGCTGTTTGTTTCCATTTCAGCTCTGTCCGTGTGACCCAGGTTCTCGCAATGGCGTCCAAGTCAACGTGTACTGGTCGTGATTGAAAAGTACTGGATGGAAAGAATTCTCTAGTCACCTGTCTGTGTTCTGTTTTTTCGCGTTTGTTATTAAACATTGTTTCTGGAAGTCTTCGGAGGACAGCGTTAATTCCAGGTTATTTATACCTGGACTTTGAAATTCTCAGTTTTATTACTTAAAGTGGCTTTAATCTAGTACGATGGGTTAGAATGTCTTCAGACTTACGGCTGATCCTAAATTAAGTATGAATATTTTTCCAGGTGACTGTTTCTTTAAAACTAGTCTAACTTGATTTAGATCATATTCGACACTGGCCTTCAGGTCTTCACATTTGTATTACTCTACATTTTGTGAATAAGTTTTGGCTCTTTTGGTGACGGTTTCTTTCCATCCATCAATGACGCCTAAAGAATCAGGGGGTCTAAACGCTGATATACAAAGGAATGCCTTTGAAGTTCAGGTGCTTAAATGTCCTTTGAAGCATCAAGGCAGCTTCCTTTACACGGTGTTCTGTTGTGCAGCTCTAGGAAACCAACTAGTTAAGCTGCTCGATCCAAATTGTGCTCTATTTCAGCTGGATTAGACTGGAAATAACTCGTGATTGATGTAGGGCCATCTGTTCTGCTAAGCATGAGCCTCGACCACACTATCTGCTGACTCTTTAGCCTGGCCCACCCAACTTGGCGTCCAGGTTGTTCTCACCTAGCGAAGGGGGAAAATAACATTTACGTTTTTTGGGGCGTCTATTTGTTGATCTGAAGGGAATGTAAAGATACACATTCGCACCACCACCGAGCTCTAGACCCCTGAAAATCCAATAGTTCTCTTGGAGTTTCTGTCGGCATGGGTAAACAAATTAATCATTGCACGTTCGGTTGGTTTGACGGAATTTTTTACCCTCTACCACGCTACAGTCTTTCCATAGCCAATTCGCAACGGCCTTACAGCAACGTTTGCATGCTGAACAGATCAGGTTAGTGAATGTCTTGGGAAACTGTCGATCACTGTTATAACACTATATCCCATGCCTTCCTGGTTAGCGGCAGAATCACACTGTCTCCCATAACAGTTCTTTCTTGTAGGTGTATTCTCACAAAGTCAATAAACCACTGCTGGAAGTGTGGCGCTCTTGATCTAGAGAATGGAAAACAGAATTTTGCTAAATGCAAAAGACCAGGGTTTCATAAAAATTGCGAAATTTGTACACCAAGCTGTCAGAATGCCGCCATTTGTGTGAATAGGTAGTCCCAATACTTATGGAAAAGACTGAGATCAAGAACAATAATTTTGGTTATGATTGATCTACACAGGACTTCACTGTATAATACCACGGAGCTTTTGAAAGGAGCGTTTAAAAATCCACTCGGCTGCCAAAGTTGGTCCGTATGCAAGTTACTGTCAAATAAAACAATCTGAATAATAATAAAACTATTCTAGTCAGTATGGTGATGTGTAGGAAAGAATTTTCGGCAAGTGAAGTGGTATTCGGCAGTACATTGCGTATTGATGCGTTATTCCATATGAAGTAAAATATAAATCTAAAAGATATTTTTTCTCCATTTCTGTTGAGAAATGCTCTGCATTATGGAAAACTAAAACTGTGTATGGGTTCAAGCGGCGATCAGGAAACTCGGTCTGATGGTTGAAATATTAAGGAATAGGGAAGAGCTTATGCAACATACCGTATGGAAATTTAAGTACTGGAGTGATTTAACCAGGCCGCCAGTTTCAGTTAGTCTCTTTGATTCACAAGAATAGATGTATATAAATTAAAAGTTTCGTTGCAATACCGAATGTTATTTATTGTTTTTCGCACCGAAAATTCCGCTATTGAGAATCTGACTGCTATTGACCAGCTTTGTTTGTCTTCAAGTTGATGCCATCATTGGAGGGCTTTACGTGTGATGTCTACTGATCGTTTTGTCCGACGGAGTAGTTCGAAATCCAGAAGTGGTAGTAGTGAATATCAAGGCCGCAGTGAGTGTTTGGTTTGAACGTAGATTTGATTGCCTTCAATTTTATCACTTATCTATTGTTTTTTGTGGAGTTCAGTGCTTCAAAATATTACGGCAAGTTAACTTGCTTAGAAATGGATAGTTGGAAGCACCACAGGTAGAAATACAGAAAAGTGTCTATTTCTGAATTCATCCTAAAATTCGGAGTTAGACCAAAGGGGACAGTAACTCTTCACTGAAAACCTTTTCCAGATTTGCCTTGGTAGTAAATAATCGATATCGAAGTAATATATCGGGCACCCTGCGTCCTCACTCTTAGCACAAAGTTTAATGGCATTATTGTGTATTTCGAGAATTATTACAGGTCATTTACCTGGCGTCTTCCTTTCACATCCACGGTCTAAGCCATTATTCTCAATGGAGATAAAATACTAGAACAGTTCACAAATGAACTGTTGTAGTATGGTAATAGTCGAGTGTAGGAAAACAAATGATTGCTATTCCTCGCTATTCTCTTTCTCTTCGGCTTCTCTGCTTATTCCCAAATACTTTCCGGGAGTTAATTAGTCAAACTAGCCCAACTTCCTTAATATCCTACAGTCTTCAGTCGCATTACACTGAACTTCGACTACACAGTTAGATACTGCTAAGTTCTCTGTGTAAAAAACATCCAAACCGTCCCACCATTTCGAAAACCGAATACAAGTATCTTGAATCGTACTCTTCACAGTTCGGTAGGCAGTAGATTATACTTTCGGGATCTCAGAATGTACAAATGAACAAATGTTTTACTTATATTCAGTCGAAAGTTCTATTTTGTCTAATTTGATTATAGCTGACAAGAATATATCTTGAGGTTAAGTAGGATGATTCAAATTGGGTCGTGCGACGGATTGCTTTAGATAAGGATCCCAAATTTCAGAACATTATACTAATCTGAACCAAATGGATTAAAGGTAGTATTATTACTATTTGTTAGTTAAAAAAAAACTAGGTGTGTACCAATTCAGAAGGAGCTTTGAATCAGCTTTTTAGAAGTTCAGTTAACTATGCAGCCTTCTAAGACTTCCTGCCAGAAAGTCATTTGTTCTAACGTCAAGCAATAACCACGGAGTCACTTCTTGCAAGTTTTGAAGTTAAGTAGGCGGTCTAAATAAGCTTGGTTCGGGGACATGGCGTCAAACGATAATTAACGTGCTAGCTGTCAGAACCATGACTTTTAAGCTGTATTAGCTATTACCACTATGAAATCAAACTGAGGTATTTTTGTTCCGTAGGGACAGTAAGATTTAAAAAGCTGATGGAACCGTGCATAGTTTCATGCTTTTTTTAACTTTGTACTATTACTGAGTCTTTTGAAGCCCTTATTCCACTGATCTCTGTGTTGCCAGTAGGAGGCTTGATTGCTATGCTTGGGAGTGACTAGTGGATGTCTTCCTAATTAGTAAAATTGATTGGTTATTTCGTGAAAGGAATTCGGTAGCGTTTATATTCATAATCTCAATTGCATTTGGTATTCCTGTCGTCTCAGTGATTAACAACGGATATTGCTCTACAGACTTGGCTCTAAAGTAGCCACAGCTGAGACATACATTAGTTTACGAGCATCTATTGGATAAGTAAATGGTAAATACAGAGTATCATCTACTATCTTACATCAAAGAGTATCACGGGAGTGAGCACGGTAGACACTTCGTCTAATCCAGGAGTTGGGACGACCAACGTACACTAATTCTTCCTTGCCTTAAGAGATCATTTTAACTAAATTGCATACTGTGATAGGTGCTGTTTGACGAGGTTTTGTTTCGGGTGAAAATATTTTTTCTACATTCACCATATTACTAGCACTACACATTATACCCGCTCTCATTTATTGGGATGCTCTAGTGGTGGTTGAATGTACCAGAAAGTGAGCACCTCACTTAACACTTGCTTCATAATTTACACAGGTGGTAGCAAGTCTCTTGGTGTCGAATAACGGTCTTACCGAATGCCCCCTACTTCGTCTAGTCTCATTTGTGCAAAGTGCTTGACAGAAGTACCGAAAAGTTATATTTCGATTTCCAGAACTTAGAAATCTGAATAGTAAACATGTATGCTTAACATCGTCTTTGAGCCCAGTAAATATAAGATCTACTGTGTCCGTTTGAGCTTTGAAGTACTTAGACTGACTGTTATAAGGAATCCATGTATATTTGTAGTGTTTTAACTAGTGAAATGCAGTAATCTTAAAATTTCCGGAAAGTCGTTTTCACGATTGTGATTTTTCAAGTTATTTCCGGATATTTTACAGGTTCTAAAATCAGCTAATATCCTATTTTATTGTTTTAGTAAATATTCTGGCGCACCTGTGGTTTAGATTTCATTATTGCAGTGGTAGTGACTTTTCTGTTCAAAAATGTTCGTTTTTGTTGTATGCTTGGCAATTTTTGTGGGTTTTTCCTATGCCATTGTTTCTGTAACACAAGTGCTGAAACAAACTGAGCGATACATTTTAGCCAGCTGTGGTGGTTATTCCAGGCATATGATTTAATAAATCCAGCAAGTTATATTAACTAATTTAAAACATCTGCAAGCGTTTGTTTACCGTCTCTCAAACACTGACTTCTATTGTCATAAGTACATGCAGTGAGATTCAGGAAGTGATTATTGACATATCTAGAATTAGTACGAATAGCACACTACTGCTTCTGATGTCCAGAAAATCCCAGTTGTTATTTTCCTTTCCCTATATTCATCTTTTAATTAGATCGATATTCGGTGAACTGGAAAAGTATTATCGTTTAGGTCGTTTTCTACTATCAAAGCTATTAGGCTGACTAACCTTTGTGTGTGTTGTTACAAATGAGAACTATTTTCACTTTAGTTCTTATTATGTTAGGTTAATCATTTGTCTGTCTGTCTGTTTTCGACATAGAACTTTGCACAAATGTGCGGAAGTTCAAGTCGCCACACTCCGTGTAGCACGCGAAGCAAGAGAAGAAAGTACAAGAAAAGCATAATAGAAACAGTGAGCAGAGATGTGAGACTAAGGAGTAATAAAGAAAAACAAAAGTTTCATTGGAGATCATAAGTCACAAGGAGTGGATGCATCTGCGCCAGCCATTGAGAATGATTTTGAGCCATGTCACCAATTGTTTCCAACCATAGATTTTTACCGTCCCGAGGGCCCCAGCCTGGAAGTCTACACCTTCCTACGTGGCTTAGACCAACTGTTGTGGATTTCATTGACTGGTGCCATGTTTTTGTTTGACCACCGCTAGCTTTTTCCAGCCTGACCCTTTATCCGCTAACATTGCTTGTCGAGGGAGGCGATGGCTTGGCATACGTAACACATGTCCTAACCATCTCAGTCTTTGTAGCTTCATGACTTCGTCGATTGATTTCCCCTGTTTACCTAGAACTCTACGCCTAACCTCCATGTTGCTCACCTTATTATGCCACTTTACACGGGAAATATAGCGTAGGTATCTATGATCAAAGACAGCTAGCCTTTTCATGTCTTCCACTCTCAGTGACCAGGTCTCACAACCATAAAGGAGGACAGAGCGGACTGATGAGCAGTACACCCGCCCTTTGGTCGACAGTCGAACATCTCGTCTACGCCAGGGTCGGCGTAAACTAACAAATGCGAAACGAGCGTCTTGTATTCGTGCTGAGATTTCGTCAGAGATCGACCCGTTGGCGTTGGCTGATGGTACTTCCCAAATAAGTGAAGCGGTCAACGTGCTCTTCCACTTCACTCCCTATTTCTAATCTAGGAGTCGGTGTAGTCCAGTCCTGTAACATCATCTTGCATTTGGCGGGAGCGAATCGCATGCCAAACATTCGTAGATTGCGGCTCAAGGTGTTTAGAAGACTTTGCATTTCGTCAGCGTCTTTGCCTAGAAGGACTATATCGTCTGCATATTCCAAGTCAACGAGATTATTTCCCGGTAGCAAGTCAATCCCTGAGTCGCTGAAGTCACTTAGGGTTAAGTCCATTAACACATCTATGATGAAGTTGAATAGAAATGGGGATAATGGGCATCCTTGACGGACACCACTAGTCGTCACCAGTTCAGATGACAGCTCGCCGTAAGCCTTCACCTGGCTGATGCATGAGGTCGAGTAGAGTGCCTTAATCAGTGCAATATATTTTCTCGGAATTCCCTTTACAGCCAAGCATCTCCAGAGAACTTCTCGATCGACAGAGTCGAATGCTGCCTTTAGGTCAAGAAATATAATGACTGTTGGACGCCGGTAGGAATGCGTATATGTTCTAGAATCTGTCGGAGGGTGAAGATATGATCAGTACACCCTCTTCCTGGTCTAAAGCCTGCCTGGCTCTCTCGTGTTTGTGCCTCCCGAGCACCACTTAGTCTACGCATGATTATTGAGCCTAGTACTTTAGATACTATATTAGTCAAGCTAATCCCTCTGTGATTATCACAGGATGACTTGTCTCCCTTCTTGTATATGGGGATAATCAGTGACTTACACCAACCCGATGGGACTTCTTCTGATTCCCAGACGCTGCCTAGTACCTCTGTTAATGCAGACAGTAAGCTGTCTCCACCGTACTTAAATACCTCTGGAGTGATTCCATCAGGTCCCGCTGCTTTGCCTAGTTTCAGATTAGTGACAGCTTTAGTAACCTCAGTTAAGGAAGGAGGACCTGTGTCTATATCCCATTCAGGGAGGTGTTGGATGCTCATAAGGTTGAGCGTGGCTGTGGGCCAATTAAACTGCTCCTCATAATGCTCTTTCCAACGATCCAGTCGTCTATCCTGGGAGCTAATTATTATTATTATTATTATTGTATCCTTTAGTTCCTAGAGGAACATAGGGCTTCAGCTGCGCACCTCCATTGACTTCGGTTTTCTGACAACTTTTTCACCCTGCTCCAGGTCTGCCCACATGCTTTCATCTCCTCTTCACATGACCTCCTCCAAGTCACCCTTGGACGACCAACTCGCCACCTCCCTTTCGGGTTCCACTCGAGGGCTTGTCTAGTGATGTCACTTGATGGTTTCCTCAGCGTATGGCCAATCCATCTCCATTTCTTTCTGCCTATTTGTTTCACAATCGGTTCCTGATTGGTTCGCTCCCAGAGATCCCTGTTGCTGATCTTTTCTGGCCATCTGATCTTGAGTATTGAGCGGAGACAGTTGTTAATGAAGGTTTGAAGTTTGTTTGAGATGCTCTTTATGATTCGCCAAGTCTCTGATCCGTATAGTAGCACTGACTTCACATTGGAGTTGAAAATCCGGATCTTATTTTTGATGCTGAGTGATGTTGACCTCCACACAGATTTGAGAGTAATGAAAGCTTGTCTTGCTTTTCCGATTCTGGCTTTGATGTCTTCGTCAGTTCCGCCTGTAGTTGAGACGATGCTTCCCAGGTAGGTGAAGGAGGTTGTTTCTTTCAGGTTCTTCCCATTTATGCTTATTGTGGTCTGTTGTTGCTGTTGATGTTGGCAAGGAATCTTCATCATCTCTGTTTTATCTATGTTCACGTGAAGTCCTATCTTTGATGCTTCTTCTGCCAACTTGTTACTTTTCATTTGCATATCTTCCAGTTTATGGGAAATCAGACATATATCATCGGCGAAATCCAGATCCTCCAAGTCTTTTGTGTCAGTCCATTTTATGCCTGTTCCCTCGTTGGTTGCCGTTGTCTGTCGCATTATAGTGCTAATCTTTCCCGAGATTGTTTGACTTATGATTTGCCTTCTCCCACCCGTTTCCTTGATGAGTCTAAAGAGTTGCCTAGTGTTTCCTATCGCCGATGCTTTTTTCATCTCTTTCGCCTTTGTCACCCACCACTGTTCATGGTCCTTGCGGAGACTTTTCGTAAGTTTCCTTTTGTGCAGCTTTCGCTCCTCATTGAATTCGGAGCTCGCCGGAATAAGTCTTCTAGCATCTATCAGTTCGGATGAGGCGGTGGAGATCCAGTGGTTTTTACTCACCTTTGGGTTTACCTTATTCACAGCTTTTACAGCTGTATCTATGGCTGACTGAATATTCTTCCAGGCTTCTTCAGGGTGAGCGCAGCTGTCGAACACAGATATGTGTTTAGCTAGTTCTTCCTCAAATAGGGATTTAGTTTCCTGATCGAGCTGGGGACGTGATGGGTTTACCGCCAGCTGTTTCCTACGTCCGTTCAGTCGTAAGCACACCCGAGCGCGGACCAGTGCGTGGTCGGTATCTACACACGTGTTCCAGAAGGAGCGACAATCTCCTACCGACCCACGCCAACGATAGCTTATTGCTATGTGGTCTATTTGTGTCCAGCGTTGGTTTGGTGATGGGGGTCTCCAAGTCAAACAGTGTCTCTCCTTGTGTTTGAAGTTAGTGCTTACAAGAAACAAATGATTATCAGAACAGAACTGTAGGAGACGGTCACCGTTGTCGGTTCGCTGGCACGGAACTCCATAGGTGCCACCGACATCCTTCTCAGATTGACACAATTTCCCTACTTGAGCGTTAAAGTCACCAGCTAGAACGACTATATCTGAGTGTTTAGCCTTTCGCACCAAACTAGACAGCTTTTGGTAGAACTCATCCTTCGTTTCATCTGAACTGCAGTCAGTGGGGGCGTAGGCGGAGATTACGAAAAGGCATCGGCGAGTAGTGCAGTCCTTTCTCCTTTTTACTGACCCGTTCAGGCGGACAGCACACATTCGGCTATCTACCGGGATCCAGTCAAGCAGTGTCTTTTCTGCCCTAGTACTCAAAGCTATCCCTACACCAGCTAATCCTTGTGAACTGGCTGTGGCATCTCCTGACACCCTCAAGGTGAATTTTGCAGATTCAACCTGTTGGCCAGGTGGGGTTAGGTGAATAACCACACTTGGGTCTTGTGTGCGTGTTTCTGAAACACAGCATACATCAATGGCTCGTGATGCCAGGGTCTTGGCTAGTGATGCTTGTTGTCCTATTTGGCAAAGTGTCCTAACATTAAATGCTCCTATATGAAATTGGTGGCGCGGCTTTAAGAGGCTGTCGGTGGTAGTTTTTTGGCTTCCATCGTTTTTAGTGGACACAGAGTGGGGAGGAAGTGAGGAGCCATCAAGTCGAGGAGTTTCATCAGTGGAAGGAAGGCAAGATGATAGAGATGAAGATGAAAACAAAGATGAGTGAGGATTAGAGGGGCTTCGTGTGCATTTCGGATTGTGAGGACGATTGTTACTTCCCGGCTGCCCACACCGTGGAAGTTGGTTGCGTGACCGCAGAGCCCAGGGGACAACTGCTTGAGGCCGGTCACACGTGGCCTGTTTTTGTTCGTTCTCTTTTGTTTGGTGTGCCTCAGTAGCATACTTATCACTCCTGCCCTGTGACACGGCAGCAGGAAGCGCGGTCGTTGTTAATCCGGGCCACGGCCGATCCGGCATGAAATTTTTTGATTTTGTATTGGACATGATGTTGGATTGGGTAGCTGCTTTTTTGTTTAACCACTATCCAAACAACCTGCCTGGCATGGTAGGACCTCAAGAGACATAAGTCTCAGCCAGTATAGCTTGAATAGATCATTGCGGTGTTCAAGCCCGACCACCACGTCAAGGTAGCAGCTTTCGGTCGGGAAATCATTTATATATGAATATATGTTGTATGAATGGTCTGGGTATCCTACTCAGTGGTTGAAATTGTTATTGCAAACTAGTATGTATCAATTCTTTAGTGTGTAGCTTTAGCTTTCCTAGCTAAGTAATTAGTGAAGATGGAATTTCCACTTAGATGGCGCAACAACTAGGTGGTTGATGTAAAACACTGGTAACGTATCATCAGTACGTGAATAACAGTGTTAGCACTTTGCATCATTTTTGTAACATACGAACAACTGTATGCAGAATAACGCAAGATTTTACTAATTGATATACAACTTCTATCAACATAGATCTACTCAGATGTGCAAATATTCACGTTCTCATTAGACACCAGTGTAGTTATGAATAATGACGGTGAAACTCTTGGTGCTATTTATAAATCTAATCATCACTACTAAGTAATCTACATTCACTGTATGCATGTATCATACGCTCAAATTCTAAATTTAGTTACTCAATCTTTTCAAACTTTTGCTTTCTGTTTCTTGGCCTCAGATAATTTTCAGCGGGTAAATATTTATACTATATTGTTCAATCGCATGTTGATTGGAAGTCATTATTATTGTTCTGATTTCGGTGTTATACGTATATAAAAATGTTTGATGTTGTTTGCTAGTGTTATGTGTTTACCTTCAGAGAATTTTGGGGTCATGTATTTCTAAAGTGGAGTACACATAGTTTTTTGTTGCGTTTTGATATAGCGTTCTGTGTCAGCTTCCGTTAGAGTTTTTCCCTCCTAAAGTATGTATGCTACACTTAAACTTTTCACTGATTCAAAGAATAACATTTTTTCTGCAAATATAGGTTTCATGCAACATCAAAGAAGTGTTCAGGATATTTATACACCTTTCTATAAATCTCTCTCTCTCTCTCTCTCTCTCTCTTATATATATATATATATATATATATATATATATATATATATATATACAGAACGGTAGAAAACCGGTTTGGCTTTGAAATTCACAAAACATATATGATGAGGATAGGTTTGGAGGATATAAGTAACAATAAATTCGTTCATGAGACTTCAGTTCTTCTTCAGTGCTATGTATTGGTGACAAAGTTATTGGTGCCTGGTAGTTTCATAACTAGGTAATATATGTGTATCAAAGTAAAACCTATTCTCTACCGCTCAGTATGTGCATATTTGCGTATGCATGCTGCCTAAATCATCATTTACACTTGTCTAACACTGCAAGTGATGGTGTGTGTTATCTTATCTAAATGATGTTTTTGTGCACTTTCTTGTTTGCACCATAAAATTGCTTTTTTACTAGCTGTTCAGGTTCATGAATTATTTTAATTTTTTATTGTTTTTTATAATTGTTTGTTTTCATCTAACTGCTTACACTAGTTTGTTATCTCTGTTACCATCAGGATCCTATATTATTCAGTCATTACTGTTCACTTTTAAATTTTATCTTTCATTGAGTGAAATTGGCTTTAACACTTTTAATTTAGTGTATACCTCCGCGTATCTGTAAATTTGCCCTTCCCCCCTCATTCTGCCATGTATTCTGTATGCTCATCAATTTTTATGAAGTAATCCAATCAGGAATTAACTGCCATTCGTATTTATATAAATACAAGTTGTATATTTTCTTCATGCTGCCTTTGGGTTAGTATTTGTCATTAACCTTCTGCCAGCTAAAAGTACGGTCCTGGAGGACAGTTAAGTTTTTATTTTTCCTTAGTTTCTCCACAAAACGACTAAACCTTAGGAGTCCCTTTACCATTTCGTTCTCTGCTGTAATTTTTTATTATTTGAGGCTATATAATTGTACATATCACCCCTATAATTCAGTCCAGTCCATGTTTCTCCACTCTTATTTAGTGATATTTGTTACACAATGTGTGTTTTGACGGGATGCACTTACAGAATTCAATAAAAATCTTTCAGTGTCATACTGAGTCCAATTTCACCTGTGAATGATTTTCTTTGCATTCTTTCATGTCTCTTTGATTGGTAAAAATTACTGATCATAAAATCCTATTATTTCAATGAGTATAAGTGCTTATTAGTGTCATAGTTGGGATGGTGTTTCAAAGTAATTCTTTGTATCTTTATAATGATTTGTCTACTTCACGAGAAAGTGGATAGCTACTATCATAAGTGTAGAATCTTTGTCTCGTCGTATGCTTTATCTGGTTTTTGCTATAATTATGGGCTATTAAAAATCCTTTACGTTAAATAATTCAGCATGTTTTTTGGCGATTGATTTCAAACAGACAAAAAAATATTAGCAATTTTCGAATCTCAGAGTAGTGTTCCATCACTTTAAACAGCTTTCAACTAGTAGAGTAGGTTGCAGTTCCACACCCTAATTCGTTCACCCAAGTCTAGTTAGAAAATTATTACTATTGGTCTACATGTAATCGACTTCTATTACAACCAAGTAAGTAAACCTAAGTGGCGTTAGTGTTTAATAGACACTTAGTTGACGTTGCTGAACACAAAAGGAAAAACTATATGCAAATTCGCTGTTCTGCTTCACAGATATGTAGTAAACATTTGATTCTACTGTATTTCAGTTTTATTAACTTTAAGATTTCATTAGGAGATCCAACAGATGTTATTGAAGGTTGATTTTTAATTTAGTGAGTGATAGCTTGACAAACACCAACGACTTCGGCCTATTATTCCTTATTACATCTTTTCTGGGACTGGGAAGTTATTTGCCTGCTGAGTACAAACTGTGTTTTAAGCTCCAGTATGTCACAGGTTTATTTCTAGTTTAATTTGATTCGAAAAGTATTCCTTCGAACTTATTGGTGATGGTAAAATAACGTTTAATTCTTGTAAATAAACGTGTAAAATGAAATATTCTAGTCCCTAAAATAAAGCTTTGATTTCAGATCAACGTTACTACGACGTTCGAGTTAGGTGACAAGATCAATATAGAAATGTTAATTAACTGATATGCAAATTTATGACAGTTTTCATGTGTCCTGTACCAGGTATTTTGTTATTGACACTCTTTAGGAGAGAGAGACTGAAATTCAAACTATTGTAGTACAGTGGAGAGGAAATATACCATTTTTCAAAGCAGTTCATTACCTTGAACGTAAACTGTGAAAGGTTTTCAAGCAGTAGGTAAACCGTCGGGCACGTATCTATTTTAAGAGTACCTTGAGTCGTTGAAAGTAAATGAGTGAGTTTCAGTCCATCGTAGTTTATTCGTTTTAAGCTATGTTCAACCATTTATTGGAATTTGCGACTTTTTAAGCTTAGACCATGTTTTCATTTCCTCGAAGAATTTAACAAGCAATGTATAGTTATAACCTAGGGCAAATTGTTGCACGATGTAGTAGCGTTTTTATTTTGAATAAAAGCAACGCAAATGTTTCCTGTTAATAATTTGATAACTGAGAGATTGTATTAACTTGTTTTACCATTATGCATAATTTAATGTTAGGCTGTCTGGTGCTTTATGTTATACTAAATGAAAATATAAAAAGTATTTGATTTCCAAATGTGTTTTTGGTTTCAGAGAAACACTCTTCGTCAGTCTCACAGGTACGTTCAAATCAGTATTTTTGTACTGTTTTAATCTCGAATATTGCTTATTTCGGTTTAGATACTTAGACAATATATCCTTGGTTTTTATTTTCACTTAATGTTATTCGCTAAGCAAAAGTGAGGGTAATAGACGCCTGTGGACAGTGTAAATAGTTGTGGAAAGTCTTCATTTACATCAAGGCATATTTAGTGTTATATCCTCTGATTGAAACACTGAAGGGTTTTACCTTGGACTTTCTAATCTCTGTGATTTTATTTCCAACTATCCTTATTTCGCGAATGATTTATGAAAAAATTCTTATCTTATTAGAGTAATAATTTATCGTTATACATATTTATGTTTTAAAATTACGGAAAGTTTCCTGAATGTTATTCTGCATTCTTATCTTTCTTTATCTTGGACTAATTACCCTATTTCATAGGTATTCAAACCATCTTCAGTCTCGATGGTCTGAAAACTATTGCAGCATTGAGTACTCAGAGTTATCGGTGATATTACGGTTCTTGGCGTACAGAGAAACAAAAAAATTATTTTTCATTCATCGGGAAATACAAATTCCTATTCCCAATGAGTGTTCACGACATCTTTTCCCCCTCTCAACTGTTTATGGTACCTTGTAATTGAAAATGAGTCAGATTACTGATGAGATTTTTGTGTTGGGTTTTTCAAGTTAGGTAACAAAAGGTCTTGAATTTTAAGTGTTTGTTTGCTGATGTTGTTCAGAGGGACCTATATACAATATTGAGAAGGCTTTCTCCCTTGGGGAAACTATAACTACATCGTTTAGGACGGTAGTCAGAAAGCTGCTTATTATTATTATTAGTAAGTATGCCAGATATTTTATTGATTATTTTGTTCCTTTGAGTTCCGAGGGGAACATCGGGCTTCTGGTTTGAGTTTTAATGTTTCGTCACTTTTAGTGTTATTTCTTTTCTTATGGAGTGGGTTTGCTAGCGGTCTTCCAACCTCCCCTCTTTACCGGACTTACTACCGGTTAGGCGAGGTTTGTAGGTGTGTCAGCGGAGACCAAACACCCAACCACTTGGGTGGTTGACGAGCGTTCTGTGCGTCGGTGGCACAGTGGTTAGGACTCTCGCCGACCATGCACATGGTCCGGGGTTCAAGCCTGCAACGACGCACACCTGATATCTATGGTCGGCCTGCGAAATTTGGGCTACCGATATCCATGCTGAAAATTCCATATTGTACCGAAAATACGGTGTGGAATCAAGCTGTAAATCAAAAAAATCAATTTTTCCCACCAGGGGTGAACGAACTTTGTGTTTTTTTGGTGGGGGGGGGTAGGGCGGGACAAAGTATGTGTCAGAGAAGACGTTTAGTCTGTGCATGGTTATGGAAAGTTGGTATCCTACATCAAAACCGAACGACGATTCAACATAACGAGGAAAGATAACTTAATTTCCTGTTGTATTTGGATATTTTGGTTGGTGACGTCAGAAGATACGAGAAACTGATGGGCTTTTCAAGAATGTGTGCACTGTGTTGAGAGAAGAAACTTATCCAACAGTTGGAAATATGTAGATATCATAGGTGTTGACACTTTGGTGCTGGTAATCACGAAAATGTTATTTATTGTAGTCATTCTTACTTTAGTGGAATAGTGGCATAGTTGTGGATATGTTACCATTCCTTGCAATTTATACGTCTCATACTTAGGGTTGACTTTTATATTCGTTTTACCACTAAATAAACAAGTGCAATTTATTCTACTTTTATTTAATATTCCTATATTTTAATATGTTTTATCTTGGGAGTAATAAATTACTTTTCACTTTTTGTTTTCACACCGATAGTCAGAAGTTACGGGATTCAAGGTGGAAGATACAAATACCTACGTAAGACTGTTTACTTTTTCATTAATTTGCAAATAAGAAACATTGACATAAAGGTTATGGTGATTAAGTGTAGTAAGCTTGCGTCCGCAAAATTTTAGATGTAGTAGTAGCAGAATCATATCTAAAACAATTAGTTCCCTTTAAGAATTTAGAAAAACCAATAAGAAGACGTAATTTGTCCGAATCGTGTAATGTATTTGCGCAACACATTTCGAACAATCTGATCACACACGGACTTGTCTTAGGAATGAATATATATATATATATATATATATATATATATATATATATATATATATATATATATATATATATGGAATTAATAAAGAGGTAAGAGGTGAGAAAATAGACTTAGGTCAAGTTAAAAGGACATATCCAAAGTCAAAATAACAATGAAGACCACTAAACCAAATAGCAGAGGTAATAGTACATCTGCTATGGTATCAAAACAAAATTTGCCAAGGAAGGTTTAATGTGATGACGAATTGTTTTTGAACGCATAAATGTGGCTTAAACTTTCTAATTGCCTCCACAAACTTTAGGATACGCCCCAAACACGTTTTATAGATAGGTTTAAAAGATGTTAACATCAATTTTATGTCCTGTCTCTATAATATGTTTCGCAATAGAAGAGCTAGTTCTCCTGTTCTCAACGTTAATAGGTTCTGAAGATTCCATTTGTTTCTGGAGCCATTTAGGAATATGTTCTAAAGCCCTTACTTGCAGAGATCGATGAGTCCTTCCTATGTATGTGCGTCCACAAGTACATTCAAATTGGTAAATACAGTGGGGTGTGAAGTCATTTTTCGCATGTTCGAAGGGCTTAGATAAATATATTGGCTTTACATTCTCTATTATTATCATCATATTAGCTGCATAAAAAGTCTTTCTAACAGCAGCGTTCAGTCTTTATCTAGTTGTCAAGCTGCTTTGATGCACCATATAGGGTAGTTAGATGTACACGTCTTTCTTAGGGGCGAGTTGGAGATTGGGTCTTGGTGTTCTGACTACTTTATATCTCCTGATGAACTTGTCGGGATAATTGTTATGAACCAGAGTTTGTGTCAACCTTCTTTCTTCTTCATCAAGTGTGTCTTCAGTGCATATTCGTTGGATTCAACTGAAGAGGCACCTTACTAAGGCTCTTTTGTACCGAGCAGGACAGAAACTGTGGTAATTAAAATACTGTCCTGTCCAGGTAGGATTTCTATAAATAGATCTTTTTATTGACCCATCAAGCCATCGACTAAGCAATATGTTTAGGAAAGATAAAGAATTATCCTCCTCTTCTACAGATGTAAGTGATATGCAATTTTGAACTTCATTTATTCGATTTAAAATTGAGGTCTGTCTGTCTGGATTCAACATAGAACTTGGCACCGAAGTGCAGCAGTTCGAGTTGCCACGTTCCAAATAGCACACAAAGGTAGACAAGAAGATGAGTGAAGAGAATCAATAGAGTTTGACAAGTATAAGAGTGAAACAGAATGGGTAATGGTAGAAAGGAATATGAAAGATTACAGAGACTGAATACATCTGCGCTAGCCATTGACAACGATTTTGAGCCATGTCACCTATTGTCTCCAGCCATTGATTCCTAGAGTCCCGAGGGCCCCAACCCGGTAGTCTGCATCTCCCTACCTGACTCAGTTTAACTGTCAAGGATTTCATGGATTGATGCCATGTTTTTGTTTGGCCACCACTGGCTCTTTTCCAACCTGCACCTATATCAGCTAGCAATGCCCGTCGGGGGAGGCGGTGGTTAGGCATGCGCAGCACGTGACCTAGCCATCTTAGTCTATGTAACTTTATAGCCTCGTCGATTGATTTTCCCTCTTTGCCCAACACTCTACGCCTAACGTCAACATTACTTACCTTATTAAACCACCTAACGTGAGACAGAGATCGCAGACATCTATGATCGAAAGCAGTCAACCTTTTCATGTCTTCAACGCGTATTGGCCATGTTTCAGAGCCATAGAGAAGGACGGAGCGAACTGATGAGCAGTACACACGTCCCTTGGTTGATAACCGGATGTCACGCCTACGCCAGAGATGGTGTAAGTCAGCGAAAGCAGCTCGAGCTTTTCGGATCCGTGCTGAGATTTCATCGCCAATCAGTCCGTTGGTGCTAATACAACTTCCCAAATAGGTGAAGTGGTCAACATGTTCTATCACTTCACTCCCTATCACTAAGTTAGGAGTTGACGTAGTCCAGTCCTGTAGCAGCATCTTACATTTTGCAGGGGCGAATCGCATGCCAAACATACGAAGATTGCTGCTCAAGGTGTTCAGAAGACTCTGCATTTTGTCAGCATCCTCCCCTAACAGGACTATGTCATCTGCATATTCTAAGTCCATAAGACTATTCCCTGGTAACAAGTCGATTCCTAAGTCGTTACGTTCAGTTAAGGATACTTCCATCAGCATATCTATGATGAAGTTAAACAGAAATGGGGAAAGTGGACATCCCTGTCGGACACCACTGGTTGTTACCAATTCAGATGACAATTCCCCATAAGCCCTTACACGACTACGTGAGTTTGAATAGAGTGCCTTGATTAGTGCAATGTACTTTCTTGGCACTCCCTTCACAGTCAGACATTGCCATAGTACCTTTCGATCCACGGAGTCGAAGGCCGCCTTCAAGTCAAGAAATATGACAATTGTTGGACGCCGAAAAGTGTGTCTATGTTCTAGAATCTGTCGAAGAGTGAAGATATGATCTATGCACCCTCTACCTGGTCTAAAGCCTGCTTGATTTTCCCTTGTCTGTTCCTCCCGAGTTCTGCTTAGTCTATGCATGATTACTGAGCCTAGGATTTTAGAGACTATGTTCGTTAGGCTGATCCCCCTATGATTATCACACGAGGACTTGTTTCCCTTCTTGAATATCGGTATAATAAGTGACTTACCCCAGTCTGATGGTACTGTCTCTGATTCCCAGACTTTGCCTAGTACCTCAGTTAATCTACAAACTAGTATGTCACCCCCATATTTAAACACCTCCGGAATAATTCCGTCGGGTCCTGCCGCTTTGCCTCGTTTCAAATTACTGATAGCTTTTGTGACCTCACTACAGACGGCGGACCAGTGTCTATATCCCATTCGGGTGTGTGGTGGATGTCGGGGAGGTTCAGTGTGGCTGTAGGCAAGTTAAATTGTCCTCAAAGTGTTCTTTCCAGCGTTCAAGGCGTCTATCCTGAGAGCTAATTAAGGAGCCATTTTTCTCAGAAATAGTCTCACTTATGATTTGCCTTCTCCCACCCGTTTCTGTGATGAGTCTAAAGAGTTGCCTAGTGTTGCCTATCGCCGATGCTTTTTCCATCTCTTTCGCCTTTGTCACCCACCACTGTTCACGGTCCTTGCGGAGACTTTTAGTAAGTTTCCTTTTGTGCAGCTTTCGCTCCTCATTGAATTCGGAGCTCGCCGGAATAAGTCTTCTAGCATCTATCAGTTCGGATGAGGCAGTCGAAATCCAGTGGTTTTTACTCACCTTTGGATTTGCCTTATTCACAGCTTTTACAGCTGTATCTATAGCTGACTGAATATTCTTCCAGGCTTCTCCAGGGTGAGCACAGCTGTCGAACAGATATGTGTTTAGCTAGTTCTTCCTCAAATAGGGATTTAGTTTCCTGATCGAGCTGGGGACGTGATGGTTTTACCGCCAGCTGTTTCCTACGTCCGTTCAGTCGTAAGCACACACGAGCCCGGACCAGTGCGTGATCGGTATCTACACACGTGTTCCAGAAGGAGCGACAATCTCCTACCGACCCACGCCAACGATAGCTTATTGCTATGTGGTCTATTTGTGTCCAGCGTTGGTTTGATGATGGGGGTCGCCAGGTTAAACAGTGTCTCTCCTTGTGTTTAAAGTTAGTGCTTACAAGAAACAAATGATTATCTGAACAGAACTGTAGGAGACGGTCACCGTTGTCGGTTCGCTGGCACGGAACTCCATAGGTGCCACCGACATCCTTCTCAGATTGACACAATTTCCCTACTTGAGCGTTAAAGTCACCAGCTAGAACGACTATATCTGAGCGTTTAGCCTTTCTCACCAAACTAGACAGCTTTTGGTAGAACTCATCCTTCGTTTCATCCGAACTGCAGTCAGTGGGGGCGTAGGCGGAGATTACGAAAAGGCATCGGCGAGTAGTGCAGTCCTTTCTCCTTCTTACTGATCCGTTCAGACGGACAGCACACATTCGGCTATCTACCGGGATCCAGTCAAGCAATGTCTTTTCTGCCCTAGTACTCAAAGCTATCCCTACGCCAGCTAATCCTCGTGAACTAGCTGTGGCATCTCCTGACACCCTCAAGGTGAATTTTGAAGATTCATCCTGTTGGCCAGGTGGGGTTAGGTGAATAACCACACTTGGGTCTTGTATGCGTGTTTCTGAAACACAACATACATCAATGGCTCGTGATGCCAGGGTCTTAGCTAGTGATGCTTGTTGTCCTATTTGGCAAAGTGTCCTAACATTAAATGCTCCTATATGAAATTGGTGGCGCGGCTTTAAGAGGCTGTCGGTGGTGGTTTTTTGGCTTCCGTCGTTTTTAGTGGACACAGAGTGGGGAGGAAGTGAGGAGCCATCAAGTCGAGGAGTTTCATCAGTGGAAGGAAGGCAAGATGATAGAGATGAAGATGAAAACAAAGATGAGTGAGGATTAGAGGGGCTTCGTGTGCATTTCGGATTGTGAGGGCGTTTGTGACTTTCCGGTTGCCCACACCGTGGAAGTTTAAAATTGAGGTGGCAGAACAAGACCTATCACTGATGATTACAATATCATCTACGTACATTCTATAAAGTGGCACATTTTCCATTTAATCCTCCGATAAATTCTCAATGTACGACATATAAATAGCTGCTAAAAGGGGCCCTAACGGACTTCCCATAGCAACACCATCAACTTGGTGGAAACAATCGCCTTCAAATGTAAACCTAACATTGTTAGTACATAGAAGTAATAAATCCCTTAAATAAGATATAGGGAACGGGATGGAAAAAATTGTTTGTGGAAATATAATCACACAAAATGTCAAATGTTTTGAGCAAAGGCACATTAGTGAATAACGAGTTTATATCAAAAGAGTAAATATTCTTATTCATAATAATAATATTACTATTGTCAAGAAAATCAACCAATTCAAATGTATCTTTTAACACAAACTTACAGGATTGTGTTTCGACTGGATGTAATGATTCTACTAACCATTTAGCAAGTTTATGCGTTGGGGATTTGCACATTGAAAATATAGGACATAGAGGATTATTGGGTTTATGTATTTTCGGCAAACCATACATATACGGGAATTTACAATCTGATGGTTTTAATGAGTCAAATTTATCTTTACTTATAGCATTTAGGCCATGAAGCTTCAGTGGATTAGCTGTCACTTTGCCCTGCAACAACTGAATATCTTCTGAGGAGGGAATCACGGCTAAATTTGATTTTATCATCATCTCACCTCTTACTTCTTTATTAATTCCATATATATATATATATATATATATATATATATATATATATATATATATATATATATTCATTCCTAAGACAAGTCCGTGTGTGATCAGATTGTTCGAAATGTGTTGCGCAAATACATTACACGATTCGGACAAATTACGTCTTTTTATGTGTTTAATTGAGATGTCTGGGCAGATAAAGAGGCAATTCGGCAGCAGGGAGTTGTTTCCCGTGTTGTTCAATCTAGGTAAAATATCGTGTGAAAATACTTTGACTAATACATTATGTGGGTAAAACACAAAGGAAGCACCGGGTCCATTTGCTACGGGCGACGCGCTTAAATATACATCTAGAATGTATATGATTCAAAAGCCTTTTATGGATAGCTTAATATGTTTTTCGTAATGCTGGTGGCTTTCACCGTTAATCTGTCATTATTATTGTATCTTAAATGCAACCTTACGCTGACAGGCACTTCGATATTATCTTGGATGCTGTCTTCAGTGACTTTCATATATGTAGGCCATTTACTACATAGACATGCTACTTAGGTGTATCATTTGTCTACTGATCATTTCTTTGTACTTTGAAGCGTGCATTCAACTGGAGCATGAAGTAAAAATATATTTGAAGACATAAAATCCCCAGATTGATAGGCATTCAACGGAACAGTATATATAAGTAAAGATGATCGTAATAAATGACCCAGTGGGATGTCAGTCAATATGGAAATGAGGGTATAGCTGCTTGAACATTAAAAACCAGAATTCTGACTAATTTGAGCTAAATTAACTTTGAATAAGACAAATTATTTAAATATGATTGCTTCGTAATCTCATCTCCTGAACAGCAGTCTTATCCAGATAGCAGATGACTTTGGAGATTCTTGTGTAGTTAAAGTTAGCTGTAGAAGAAATGTGTTTTCCTAAGAAGCTTCAGAGGTGAAAATTCTGCAAGAGTAAATAGAACATAGAACGACTACTACGATTAATAATGTTAACGTGGATTTCGACTACAGAAGCACCATAGGTACAACTTCAAGCTTGTAACCTGAGGATTACTTAGTCTTTATTCTTTGTCAACACTGATATCTCCGATCGTCCTTACTTCAAATGCTTGAATATTACAGTGGAAATTCAGTTCAAGTTATGTCTTACCTATCGAATGAGGCTATGACAAACTTTATTTAAAAAGAAGTAACCGGATGAGTCGTCTGTGGCATACAGAAAACTACCTTGTTAAGTAGTGTGCCTTACACTTTCTAGATGAATAATATGTCTTCCAGTATAAAGTTAGTAGTAGTCATTACTTTAGGGTGATCTCATCTCACTTTTAAATAATAGCATCTTTATTTATGATTTGTGTTTCAGTTTTCATATTTATTAAATTTCATTGAATAAATATGTGATAAGTTATATGATTGATTAACATTAAATTAATTTGCATCTTTCCTTTTCCCCCTCTTTGTGTGTGTTTATAATGTATATACATACTTTTTTGGCTACACACTTGCTCAATCTGCTACCTCCCACCCTCATACTTTGTGTGTTTTGTTTTTTGGTTTACATTTTCTGTTTATTTTTTCTGAAAACTGTGTTCGTGTGCTTATTTATGTGTAATCATCATCCTTGTGCTTGTTTGAATGTTTTACTACAACACACATCGACGCATATGTACAGTTTATTTAAAATGTGTATACCTACCTACATGCGTATCTATATAGCTATACATATGGGTGTAGGAATGATAAATTAGGTATGTTTTACAGATATTCCTGTTATCATTATTATTATTACTATTATTATTCCTATTATTATACTGATAGTTTTGCGTACTGTGTTCGGATTTCTTACCATTCACGGTTATATTCTTCTGTTAGTTATCTCCTTTAAATACTTTGCGAGATCTTGCCAACTCTTCTTTATTTAATATACCTTTGAACAATTAGTTAGATGTTATGTTGAAGACACAGGGTTTTATTAACTGGCTTACTTTTTTGCAGAATTTTATCTCTTCAGTCTACTTGTTTCTTGTAACGGTCTCTAAGGCTGTTTCGCATGAATGACTCTCCTTTCCTTTCTTTATATCTTCCAATCAAGCTTACTTTATCTCAACTTATTTTAAATAGCAATATTTTGATACATTCATACATGATTTGTTGTTAGGGTCTTTTGATTGCATGTTCTTTAGTTTATGACCATAATTATCATTGTTGCCGTATTTTGTTGAGAATGCACTTGTGTCTGTTTGCGTGTGTGTGAGTGCGTGCGTGCGTACATGTGTTATTGTAAAGATATACATTCTTTTAGTTATAGTTTTTGTGTTTAATTGTGAATGTTATCGTTCTTGTCGTCATCGTTGATTACATAGTTTTGTTGTGTTTTAAAACGTCTAATTGTTTTTCTGTAGTATGCTATGCTGTCGGTTATTTATTGTAGTCATTTATTCTGTTATTTAGATTTTGCTTGTTTGTTTTGTTTCTCATCACCTGGGTTATGACGTCCCAGATATATTTGTTCCGATTAACATAACAGTATTTAGATACCAGACAACTGTTTATTATAATAATAATTATTATTATCTTAACGAGAATCTCATCATACCATATCGGGTGCTGCGTAAATAATAATGGTAATAATAACAGCAATGATTGATTAACTAACTGCAGCCTTATAAACTACACGCCTTTTTGTAGGACAGCTGTGTTTTGCATACTGTTTTCTCGTTTTGAAACATGTTGACTGTGAGTTCCCTTCAAAAAGTATTGTTTTGTGTATTTATTTAATTTGAGCATCAGACTAATTGTTTGTTTTTCTTGTGCTTCAGTATTTCTTTTTCTTTTTATCGCTACATTAGACATCTGGAAGTGAAAAGAATGGCAAACATGTGAAGTCTGATAGCAGGTGTGTGCGTGTGTATGCTCATTCGTGTTATCCTCTTTTGATGTACTTTTTTGTACATTTGTAATACTTTAAAAGATGAACTTTTGACCTTTCAGTTGCATATCGAACATCCCCCGGCCTGTCATATAATATTTGATTACATTGAGTGATACCAATTTCTCAGAATTTATCACCCTTGATATTATGGACTCAGATTATTACTTTGATAAAGCTATTAGCATCAAATAGCGAAACGCCAGTAAAAACAATATCGTTTTGTTTTTTATTCATTGGGAAATATAAAGACCTTTATTATAATAAAGGTTTTTGTATATGAGTATCAGATTATTACACATTAAATTAGTGTAATAAAAGTTATGAGAAGTGAAATAAAACGTAGTGAATGCGAAGAATAGATCAAATATATTACTGTACGTTTTTGTGAAATCAGATGATATGTTATATAAGTTTAAAAAAGATTCTCATGTATACTGTATGTGGAACTGATTCGGTTTGGTGGTTGTTTGCCTCATTTAAACACCAATGGTAGTAGAGATAGTGCGGTATATTCGAATATTAATTGTAAGACCTGCTGAAAACAACCAAAGCAGGTAGTTAGATACTTTCCGCACTTGAATATTATAAACATTGTTTTGTAATTCTTTGTATCTGGTATACATTAAAAGTGAATTTTGGAATCAAATCGTTCGGTTTGCGGCGATTTTAGTTTATCACAAATTGTATCATATGAAAGGGACCGTTCAATCGTTTTTAAGTCCTAATTTTCGATTGAACGTATCCTACAGAATATTGTCAGAATCTGAAAATCACAGGTCAATGAATGGCAGCATCTTCACTTCGCAACTTGACGGTGCCGAACTCGGACCCTTACGACATCTGTCTAGTGCTCCCTAATTTCTTGCCGTGTGTATAACTGGCTGCAGTTTATGTTAAAACTAATTTTGGAATTTCACGATGTTTATAGAGTTTAATTTAGTGTTAGTTCCACCTAAATAAAATCCCTTTGTTATTCCACAGAGACAGTGATTTTGACCATGATCCACAGTTAAGACGTGGATCTCTGTCATTCCTGTTAAACGGTCTGGATTGTCAAATAAACTCCATCCTGCTTATTTTGAACGCAGTAATTCAGATGATCACAATAAGATCATATCCGAAACGCATGATATCAAATCTGAGTCACCACATTCTAGTAAGCAAATTTATTTCCCTTACTTTTAGTAAATGTGTTTTTGCGTAATCAATTCCATATCTTCGTATATATATATACGTACATATATATACATGCAGACCGAGAGTGTGGCTATCATGATGATGTCACCAACGGTAACTAGGGCCCTGCTGCGATGGAAGGCGATCTCGCCCAGGATAACGACCTCCAGATTCAACTTCAAGGGAAGGGAAGTGTCAGTTATACAGTGCTATGCACCCACAAACAACGCAGACCTCGAAAAGAAAGAAAAGTTCTACAGGCAACAGGGGACAATGCTCTAGTCGGTGACATTAAAATATTAATGGGAGACATGAACGCCAAACTGGGACCAGACAACACCGGGAGAGAACTCGTGGGTGGAGAAGCACTTGGAGAGATGAATGAAAATGGAAAACTCCTCGCTAACTCCTGCGCGTTCAGTGAACTAGTGATTTTTGGCAGAGTATACAAGCACAAAGATATCCAAAAGGATACGTGGGTAACACCATATGGGCGAACTAGGAACCAAATTGACTTCATCTCAATGCTGCTCAAGGAAGTGGAGACGCAGCTTTTTGGATACACTATTAAGAAGAGGAGCAGACGTAGGCTCAGACCACTATCTCGTACAAGGAACACCCCAAATCAGATTAAAAGCTTTCAGAGAAACAGAAGCTCTAGATAGACCACAAGGCAAGTTTGATGCTCAAACACTGATAGATCAGGATACAAAGGATGTCTTCACTGCAATCATAAGAAAAAAGGTGGAGACACAAATCAACACTAGCGACGAGACCAGCGTTGAAAAGCAATCGAACAACCTGAAAGCAGTGTGGAGTGCATGGAAGTTCTAGGCAGAGAGAAGAGACAGGATAAACAGCGGCTCACTACTGACACATGGAGACTAATAGAAGAGACAAGGATGATGAAACAAAAGATTACCCAGTGCATCGACGAGCAACAGAAACAGGAGTTGAATTCAAGCTACAATACATAGAACAAAAGAGTAAAGAAGAGTGCCAAGGAAAACGAAAGAAAATATTACGAAGCTATGGCAAGTGAAACAGAGCAAGCTGCAGGCGGAGGAGATGTCGCAACCCTCAACCAAACAACTAGATTCCTATCGGGGAAAACTTCAACGCAAATTAGGCCAGTGAAAGATGACAATGGAAAGTCAATCACCAAAAAAGTGAAGCAAAGAAAACACTGAGCTGAACACTTCAAAAGAATTCTAAATCAACCGCCACCTACAACGCGCCTAATAATATCAACAACGGAAGCATAACTACCAGTGAACGTCAACCCTCCGACGAGAACAGAAGTCCTGAAGGCAGTCGATATGCTAAAAGCTGGAAAAGCAGCAGGACCAGATGGAATTCCAACAGAGGTGCGTCAGCGGCACAGCGGTAAGGACGCTTGCCCACCATGCACATGGTTCAGGGTTCGATCCCCTGCCGACGCACACCTGATATCTATGGTCGGCCTGCAAAATTTGGGCTACCGATATCACATGCTGAAAATTCCATGCCTGTACCGAAAAATACGGTGTGGAACCAAGCTGTAATAAAAAAAATTTGGCCCAGAGACATTGGCGAACTTGATGACACCACTACTGAAGAAGGTGTGGAAAGAGGGTAAGGTACCTGCGGATTGGAAGAAAGGCTACTTATTCAAACTGCCAAAGAAAGGAGATTTAAGTCAGTGTAAAAACTGGCGCGGAGTTATGATCCTGTCCATCCTGAGCAAAATACTAGGCCGCATAATCCTGGTGATAATCAAACACGCCCTGGATGAAAAACTTCGACCGGAACAGACTGGATTCAAGAGAAACAAGTCATGCATTGATCAAATCGCCACACTACGGATCATCATTGAACAAAGCTTGGAATGGCAGTCGACTCTCTACCTCAATTAACTTCATTGACTTTGAAAAGGCCTTCGACAGCGTTGGTCGAGAGGTGATTTGGTAACTACTTCGCTACTATGGGGTGCCGCCAACAATTATACATTTCATACAACAGTTGTACGACAGTGCTGCGTGCCAAGTAATCCCCAACGGGAAACTCACGGAATCCTTCGAAGTGAAGACCGGACTAAGACAAGGTTGCCCACCACTATCCCCAATGATTTTCCGATTGTGGGCGGTAGGCTGGATAATGCGACAGACAGCGGCGGAAAACAAGGAAACAGGCATAAAATGGACCCACCCAAAACACTTGAGGAATCTGGACTTTGCCGATGATGATATTTGTCTGATCTCCCACAAATTGGAAGATATGTAAGTGAAAAACAACAAGTTGGCAGAAAAAGCATCGAGAGAAGATAGGACTTCAGGTGAACATAGAGAAAACAGAGGTGATGAAGATTCCTGGCCAACACCAACAGCAACAATCAGCATAAGTGGGAAGAATCTGGAAGCGGTGACCTTCTTTATCTACCCACCTGGGAAGCATCATTTCAGTTACAGGCGGATGAAACTGATAAGGATATCAAAGCGAGTATCGGGAGAGCAAGGCAAGCTTTCATTGCTCTGAAGTTTGTGTGGCGGTCTACAGCACTCAGTGTGAAAAATAAGATCCGAATTTCCGACTCCTATGTGAAATCAGTGCTACTCACTATACGGATCAGAGACTTTGCGCCGCATCACGAAGGGCACTTCGAACAAACTACAGACCTTCATCAACAGCTGTCTTCTCTCACTACTACTCAAGACCAGATGGCCGGCCAGAAAAGATCAGCAACAGGCATCTCTGTCGATGAGCGAACCAACCAGGGACCGATTGTGAAACAATTCTGCAGGAAGAAATTGAGATGGATTAGCCATACTCTGAGAAAACCGTCAAGTGACATCACACGCCAGGCTATTGCTCTAGTGGAACCCGAATGAGAAGCGGAGTGTTGGTCGTCAGTGCGAGGATGACATGGAGGAGGCCATGTGAAGAGGAGATGAAAGCATGTGGGCAGATGTGGAGTCAGGTGAAAACTATGGTAAAAAACTGAATGCAATGGAGACGTGCGGCTGAAGCCCTATGTTCCTGTAGGAACTAATGGAAACAATATATATATATATATATATATATATATATATATATATACTTCAGTGATTCACTACAGTGGTCTATTATGTGGTTTGTTTTTGACAGGTCGTTCACTGCGTGAGGAACGGTCCATTAAGAAAAGCAGTCAGGCGAGTAAGCACTCTACATCGATAGAGCACAAAACAGATTTGAATAGTTCTCATTCGACAGAAAATACAACTCACTTAAGCCATAACCGAAGTCGGGTTGGTTCAAATACTCTCGTATCGTATAACAGCACAGATGATGAACTGCCTCATGACAATAAAAATCATTCATATCCTAAAAGAAAAATGAGACGAAAAGATGACGATGCTGTTCTGCTCAAAAACTGTGCCTTGCCAGAAAGTAATGCTACTAATATAAATTCATCATCAAAAGGTCAAACTTCTGGGGTACCTAATAGTGTCAAAGTTATAAAAAGCACTGCAAGATCTACATGGGATTCTAGTGATAGTGACTTTGATTCTACGGTTGTTCGTACAGAAAAGGCTAACGAAAGTGAGAATACTACCCCAGCATATAATCATACATCAAATCTATCGGATTCTTCACGTAAGACATCTCACTGTAAGTACTTTCTTTTATCCTAATTTCATCATTTGTTTGCTTTTGTGTACAAGTGTGAAATTATTGGCTTCTTTGTTAGCGTATTGATCAGTGTCTAGTTGGAGATGTATGTTAACCAGACTAGTCGATGACAGAATTCTCGGTGATGTACTGCTTATCTTTAATGCAATCTTAAAGACAGTCCTCTAGCTAACTGACCTTATAAATCTGAACTTTGCCCATAAACATCGGTTCTCTTATGTATCGGAAAAGTACATAATACTAAAGGAATGAATTCTAGTGAAATTACAATTAGAAAGCATAATGAACAAGGAATAAATTTAATTACGATTAGTGAATATTTTTAGAATTTGGCAAATGACATTGTAATTCGGTCATATCGCAAAGAGCTTAACCATTGATTCCTAACACCTTGACGATCTTATTCAAGCAATATATACCTGCCTGCCTGTCCTAGACGAACACAGCCAGTAACTTCATGGATTGTCTCTATAAGTTTTCATTGCCCCTGGCTCTGTTCCAGCCGTATTCTACTTCAGCTAACATTGCAGGTTGATTGTATTGGTGATTCGAAGTGCTCAACATTCCGTAGCCACCTCAGTCTGCGAAGCTTTACAGAACCATTGATTAATTTTCGCAACATGTACAACACTACGCTAGGGCTCATTATTACTGAGCATATTTCACTAATTACCTTGGGAAATTGAATGCAAATAACTTATTACAGAAGACTAGTTTTTTCATTCTCCCACTTTCAACGACTATATTTCACAGGTGTAAAGTAAACTGAGGGGAACTGCTACTCGTATACGTGCTTTGGTATTTAATCTGATTGTACAGGTTGCTTTCAGAGAATACCTAGGCCCTTTCATTTCTCGTCAACGTGTTTGTTTCTTGAAAACACGACACATTTCTACTGGTATAAAAATAGGACTTGAGCATTATAGTAGAGTATAATTTCAGGTTTAATGTATTCAGTGAAACCATACTTGTCGTTAGCGTTAGAAGCACAGTTTTTCGATCTAAATCATATTAAATTTATGTGATTTTGTGCACTTATTTCCGTATTAATGGATATTGGAACGAATGATTTCCTCTACTTAATAACCTTTTCCTACTTCTGAATTTGTAAGCTCAGGTTTTTGTAGTGATACTAATGGCACAAGTTTCAGTTTGATTTCTTGGTAAAAATAGTTTAAACTTATATCGAAGGAAAATTAATATCCAATTACCATGCGATCACATAATTTATCAAACATTTACAAAAATTAAACGCGAGTGAAAATCTGTTTACCTGATGCTTATTTCTTTGTGTCTCATTTCAGCCACTACAAATAAGTTAAGTTCATCGAAAGAATCGAAAAGTAATCCAACTACGAAAAGGAAAAATGAAAATTGTAGCAAAGATGATTCAGTCAACTCTAAAGAAGCTCGGTCCAAGTTATCCAGGAGTGATTCAAACAATAGAAGACGTGAAAGAAATTCAAATCGTCAACGACCCAGCAACCGAAGAAGAAAATCCGCCTCGTCTAGAGCTTCTGATGGCTCTCGAGGAACACATCGTGCCAAAAGCACAGTCGATGGTATATCTCCAGATCATAAACGTTCACTTTCTCGTGGGTCCTCATCTTATCATTCGTCAATGAGTAGGTCACACTACTCCTCGCGGACGGAGTCTTCTCATAAGTATGATCGACGTAAGCGTAGTTATCTGAAGTCAAAAACTTACAGTTCCAGGTCATCTGCCCGTACTTCACGTTCGTACCGCTCAAGCTACAGTTCAAGATCTAGGTCAAGCTCTGAAAGAACTCCTAGGTGTCGTAGACACGTCAGATCGTTTTATCGGAGGAGACATAGACATAGGAGCTATTCCGTTCGATCACGGTCTCGTTCACGAAGCTGGCACTCAACAGATTCCAGTTTTTCTTCACAGTCCTCTCGCTCGTCACGCTCTCGATATTTTTCACGTCGAAATGTCTCCAAAAAACGTTCTTCTTCTCGCCGCTCTCGTACTCCTTTATATCGGCCTAGTTCATCTTTTAAAAAGGTTTCGGATGATTACGTTCGAAGTACACCGGAACGCCGTCTCGCTCGCCTAGGAGTTGGACCAGTTAACAAAGGCAGTAATTTGGATGATAAAACAAATAGTCCTTATGGTGATTCAAAGCCTATGTCTTATATGCCTAGTGTTAACGAAACAGTTTCAGCAGCTGTCAAAAGGGTTGTAGGTGGCGGACAATCAAGTAAGCAATTCTTTTATTTTTCTATTGGATTGTTATTCTGATTATTTCTGATTATTATTCTGGTTGTTGCAAAAAGCCGGTAGAACATAGATTTCTGTATATCGCTGTAACACTTAATCGGTTTATTTGTGCATCACTTGATTGTTTTTCAGAGAATCAGAAGACATCACACGAATCAAACATATTAAAAAATGACAGCTGTACCACTGAATCAAATTCCGCTAATAATTCTAAATCGGCTGATGAATGCAATAGTGATTCACGTTCACAACCATCGACTTCATCAAATGTAACAGAATCAAATGATAAAACATCCAGTCCACCGGTACTGGTTGATATACCATTACCTCAAGATGCACTACATCAGTCTTCTGTCAATTCTAATGATAACAATAATAATAATAGTAATAACTCAAATAAATCTGCTACCTACATTGGACCACAGGTTAGCTGACTGCATTTTGTACATTTTTGTGTTGTGACATCACATGTATACCAAAGTGTACTTTGGGTGAGAAATGAATTATCGACCATGCTATGAAATGTAAATTCTGTTGCATAACTACTTGCATTTCCGTGCAGTTGGAGGTGGATCACACCTATTCTGTTGAAGATTGTTCGTACTACCTCGGTAGATATAACTGGGCTCGAGCTCTTGTGAATTAGTGACTGTAAATTGAGCGCCTACACTGATGAGCTTTTATACGCCTACACACTTAGTTGCTCTGTAAGGGGCAGTTAAATTGGCAGGATGATGTGTGCTACCGGATTTCTCTAGGTTTATGTACCTCCTATTACTTGAGTATAATGCAAGTTGGTCTAAGCCACGTAGAAAGGTGTAGACTTCCAGGCTGGGGTCCTCGGGACGGTAAAAATCTATGGTTGGAAACAATTGGTGACATGGCTCAAAACCGTTCTCAGTGGCGCAGATGCATCCACTCCCTGTGACTTATGATCTTCAATGAAACTGTTTTGTATTTCTTTATTACTCCTTTGTCTCACACCTTTGCTCACTGTTTCTATTATGCTTTTCTTGTACTTTCTTCTCTTGCTTCGCGTGCTACACGGAGTGTGGCGACTTGAACTTCCGCACATTTTTGTAAAGTTCTATGTCGAAAACAGACAGACATAATGCAAGTCTCGGTCGTCAACCTGATAAACGTGAACAAGAGAGTTTGTCCAGCTCCTTTTTCTTCTGTGGCTCAGTTGAGATACCCGGTTATGTATAGAATAATTATCCTAGTATGTCTTAAATATGAGTCCTGTGATTTGCGAACCATCCTATCCATAAAGAGATTGACTGACTGACTGGTTTCAACGTAGAACTTTGCACAGATGTAAAAAAGTTCGAGCTGCCGCACGTCATTTAGCATACAAAGCAAGAGAAGAGAGTAAAGGGAGATTCAACAGAGAGATAATAAACGGAAATATGAAGCTAAAGGAATAGAAATATGGAAGAACAGTAGGATTTTCCTGGATATGACACGTCACAAAAAGTGAATGCATCTGCGCCAGCTAATGAATGAGAACGATATCGAGCCATATCACCAATTCTCTCCAGCCCCTTCATTGGCTCTTACCGTCCCGAGGACCCCAGCCAGGAAGTTTACACTTTCCTCTGTGACTGGCTTAAACTAACTGTTGTGGATTCCATTGACTGATGAAGTTATGTTTTGGTTTGACCACCACTAGCTGTTTTCCAACCTTATCCTATGTAACATTACCCGTTGGGGAAGGTGATCTCTAGACAGACGTAACACAAGTCCTAACCATCTCAGTCTGTGTTACTTCACTGACTGACCTAACTACGATAAATATGCAGATCTGTAGTTTTGAAACGATACTTTCAGTTTTTGATATTTGTTGACTTTTTTCCTTCGACATAAAATGCTGTAGAACTCTAGTGCACCCTGTTCTTATGTAGAGTTGGAAGTGTTCTGCACTTCGCAAAGTGTGGATACTCATATGGTGTCAGTAAAATTCATGTTTTGTTTTACGTTACTAAATGCATAAAAAGAACTGTTGGTGCTTGGGATACAGTTTACTTCTTTAATATTAGATAACAAATTTGGAAATATACAGAAAATGATTACACTTTTATTTTGGTGAACAGATTGTATATTTTATTATATTGTTATATTATACACTTTATAAAGAATCAGTGACAAATTATGCAGTATCTACCTTTTTATTAAGAGACTCTAGTATTTCGTTTTTAGACGTCTTTATGACTATAAAAGCGGGCGGTATACAATAAGACGAATTGTATGTAGAAAACCTACATCGATTGGTCAGTATACGGATTATTTTATCTTTGTGCCTTTGAAATACAAACATAGTCTGATAAAGTGCTTCGTCCACAGAGCAAGAGCAATCTGCTCTGATAAATGCCTTAATGAAGCACTTAATATTATTAAATAGCTGGTGAGTGAAAACGGTTACCCAGAAAAATTTATTGACAAGAATATAAATCAAAAATTAAGATAAGCCAGTTCCGAAAAAGGCCCTATTCTTAAAACTTAAGTTCTTCGGAGATGACAGCAAGATATTAACACAGCACCTTACGAATGCGGTAAAAAGAGCATCCAGTGCTACTGAATTACGTTGCGTCTTCAAAACCACCCCTGTTTAGCCTAATTTCGCCCAACAATTTGACTGCTCCTGTGGAGCCAGTTACATAAGTCGTACAATCAGGTGTATTTCTCGTCGGATTTCCCAACCTCACCCTGCGTGGTTAAGTAAAGGACAAACAAAATCCATTCATAGTTCTATTCTATCTCATCTTGTGGATACAGAACACAAAGTCATCTACCGCATACCAACTAATCTTAACTTTGCCTTAAGAGTTCGTTTGCTAAATATTGCTGAGGCTGTTGGGATCCACATTAAGAAACCTAAAAGAAGTTGGTTCAGACACTGTCCTTAACCTGGCCATCAGAGTTCTGATGATCCTCAATTTATTATGGAAATTTCCCTAATTATAGTTGATATTCTGTTTGCTATTACATTTTTATGTTTATTATAACTTATGCATCTTTAGTGAACTGTGATTTCATCGATCTTACTTAACAAATCCATATTATGAAAAAAAAACCAATATTATGAATGACGACTATTCTAGAATATTGTATGTATATAAGCACGTTTAATTGTTGAGCCAGAAGAGGAAATTATGGAAAAGGTTATTCTTTCCTCAATATATATATATATATAACCGGCTTTGTGGTAAAACATTGTGTTCAACTTTTTCTGCGTATTATGGCTTCCTGTGTTCACGATCCGTGTTTATTTAGTCAAAACTTGCATTAATTTACAAGCCATCATTAGTTTTTCCTTCATTTGTTGGAACTTAACAGCTGTAAACTTGTAGTGTGTTGCTTGGGAGTTTTATTTTTACGTATAATGATAATGGCGTGTGTTATTTTGTGCTTTTATTGTTATTTTTCTTCTGTGAAATAGGTTCCTCCAGATCTAGCTAAGCGCTTTGGTTTATCTGTTGCTGATACAACCTTCAAATCAGAGACTACTGACTCTATAGCAACTATTTCAAGTAGTAGTAATACCGTTGTTGCTTCCGAAAGTTCACAACTTCAAAATACTACTAGCTCTTCCTGTGATACTGTATCTTCATCAGCTACTCAAAACACAGATACTGAAGTTAGCAGCGCTAATCCTCCAGAATTCACAATCCCACCTGAACAAGCGGAGTTGTATAGACGTATGTTCAATTTTTTTGCTTGCCATTGTTTGAATTATAGGGAGATATATCAAGTAGTTTTCATCACCGTGCATTCATCTCGAAAATCTTTGGAATTCTTTGTTTTGTAGAATATTTCCTCTCTGCTTCTTGATGTGTATTTTTCCTATCCGCAAGTGAAAATGAAAGCTACACTGTTGTTAACCATTAAGAAGACTTGGCTGTCTTCGCCATAGATACGCGACCTTGAAAAGGGGAAATATACCTATTTATGCATCATTGGAAAAATGCTCTCTGCCAACTAATTCATTTTCGAATTTCACAGTTGTATGTTCACCTCTGTATGTATCTGCTCTTCTATATGTACCTGTAGAGCTGATTGTATTGAACGCTGTAAGCGAGTTCTGAAAATGCATAGGTGAATAGAATGTTGAAGTCTTGTATTTGTGAAAACCTTCATTTGGCTCACTCAGCCGTAGGTGATTTATTTTCTGTAATTAATCTCCAAGACTAAATTCAGCTGCTCTAGAAGTTTCGGAATTTCAATCCAAGAGACAGAGCTTCTGTGGCGTAAATCTTAACAGCAAAAGACTTCACACATGTATTCAATTCGAAAGTCCTATAAGTTAGACGAATGACATTACTCCAGTTTCCTACAAAGAATTTCTACATTTTAAGTCAACAATCTTCGACGGCCCTAACAAATATCTCAGCTTGAAACCAAAGCCCAACGTCTCATCACAAATGAACATGGACGACAACTGTAAAAACTACGAGACAGTAAAGATTTAATGATAACACACCCCGACAAAAGTACAGGAGTGGTCGTTATGGATAAAGATGTATGCATTAATAAATTGACAACTCATATCAGATGGCAACAAATTTTCCAAGCCCAACAATGCGAAACATAGGACAAAACTGATAGTTGGATACCTGTGAGCCGAAAACGAGCTCTCATCATCGCACTAAACCGCCGTTTGAGGAGAATCTGCAGCAGTGATTGTTTGAAAGAAAAACTCCTATTCCTTAAAAATTCCCTGGCTCAAAATGGTTAATTGGCACGTTTTGTCGACCAAAACCACGAAGAGAACAATGCAATTCAGTGCCGAAGAAAACTATATGAATCTGAACTTCAGTGAAGACTTGTCAGTTGCTATCCTTAAGAGAAGAATCTCCAGCTCTTTAAAGAAGACCTCTGTAGCAACACTAAAAGTGACATTCTCTAGCCACCCAGTACTTCTAAATAATACAAAGTAAAGACTCCCACATGTGACCAATTCAATGTGCATACACCAGTTTACCTGCTGGTGTGGAGCTAGGTTTTTTGATTTTAAAAATCTTACGAAATTTATGAGGTAATTAGATGCAATATATTGTAATGCACGCTGAAAATTCCATACCTGTACCACAAATACCGTTTGGAATAAAGCTGTTAGTATTAAAGAAAAATTACATACGTCGTTGTATTTGTGTCTTTTCGAAGCGTGTTGAAGAACATTATCTAGCATGGCTGCAAAGAGGAGGCACCAGTTCAATCAGAATTTCCATAAATGAACATTTGATCAACACCTCCCACAGCATCTCAGCTGATTCATTCAAAGTCATTTACAAAGTAAACGGAAACCTATTAAAAACAGTGTGTTTCCGACTTCTTTGTACCTCAGAAGCCCTCGCAATATGCATCAGAAAGCCGGACCTGTATGTTGAAAAGAAACTAGTCCAACCCTTACAAATACCGTGGACCTAGTTTGGTATATTCCCTTAGCCTTCGGTTTATTGTTTTGTTCTCTGTGTATCTTTCTCCCTATGTTTTCACTCAGTTCATCCCCTTTTTCAGTTATAAGAACAGTTATTTCAAGTTTGTTCCCACGCTTTTCCTGCTCGTTTAAAATAACTATTTTACAATTATATTTTAATCCTGTGTAATTTTTGTTTCTAAGCCTCTTTTAATCTATATACTCACACATCCTAACACCCACTTCCAGGCCGGAAAAGAGCTAGCGGTGATCAAACCAAAACATGGCACCAGTCAGTGAAATCTACAACAGTTAGTCTAAGCCACGTAGGAAGGTGTAGACTGACTTCCTGGTTGGGGTCCTCGGAACGGTAAAAACCAATGGTTGGAAACAATTGATGACATGGCTCAAAATCGTTCTAAATGGATGGGCGCAGATGCACCACTCCTTGTGACTTATGACTTCCAATGAAACTGTTTTGTTCTTCGCTTCTACTATTTCTTTGTCTCACATCTCTGTTTACTGTCTCTATTATGCATTTCTTGTACTTTCTTCTCTTGCTTTGTGTGCTACATGGAGTGTGGCGACTTGAACTCCCGCACATATGTGCAAAGTTCTATGTCGAAAACAGATAGACAGACAGACATATAAATAAATCTATTTGAATGCGATTGTACAGATTTCGAAAATGAAACCGCAGAAAAGATATTTCTGAACTTCGTGTTCTTTTCTTTCTAATGTCCCAATTGCTTTTTCCCAGGATGACAAATATTGTCTAACAGTCTTAAAATAAAAGCTTCCCATGAAAAGTTCCATGTCCTCGACATTGTCATGCATCGCCTGAAAAATGGTAGTCACCAAAGGTCAAGGTGACATGGAATAAACAATACCTACATTTTAATAGTTTTTGTCCACATAGCTTTAAACGAGCACTAGTCGAGACAGTACTATAGGACTAGGAGAATATACTCTGCAGAGAAACTTAGAGACAGAATTTATTACTCTCGAAAAGATGTTGAAAAACAACGGTTACCCTCAGAGATTCATCAACAAATATGGAAGATGTTAGGGCTCAAATATCAAACAAATAACGGTGGAAAAAAGCCTGTCTTCCTTCAACTCGATTTTAAAGGTGAAAATATTTCAGCAATAGTCAACAAGAGACTGATTACTTCACTAGCCAGAGCCTATCCTGCAGCTAAGTTGGTCCCCGTCGATTGGACAACATGCTCTTTGGTGCAGTCAACAGATACCCTTCTCATGTTAACTCCCACTGTGTATACAAATTTACGTGTGTCTGCGGGAGCAGTTACACTGGGAAAACAGATAGTAGGGCACACTCCCGATTTTTGCTCAACACGTACCGAAAAGCCTACGTCTCAAGGGAATAAACGCCTATAATAGTGCTATTACCAAGTATCTCCTTGATACGGGTCACGAGGTGGAAATCGTAAAATCCTTTAAAATTATCAACTGGTGACTTTATTCTCCGTTTCGCCCGATTACGCAATCATTAACTTTAACCTCACCCGCCCCCCTTTGATATAGTGTAATTTTGCCTGTCTCTTGTTTCTATGATTTGAGTTGAACTCATTACATTGTCACCTAATTTATTAGTTACTTATCATCTTCCGTATCTCTTGTCTCTATTACGTAACTCCTTTACCTTTGTATGCATACGTTTACTTTGTTTAAACTTAAACTCCTCGTGTAAAACTATATAAGCCTCGTTTTTCGAGCTCTGTTCACTAAGTTCGGAGATTCCTGTCAAGTGACATTATTTTTGAATTTAGAAGTATGTTAAAGCTTTTCTGTGTATGATTTTAATAATAAATTATTTATGCTGAGAAGCCAACGAAATAAATGATGGTACCATATTATTCTGCAAAACTTGTTGTTCCTCCTTCATCTGTAATGGTTTTTATGTTTTGTTTTTCCTTTTGCCATGTTATAGGAAGATAATAGTGTATAAGATGCTGAAATTTCCATTGGATATCTACAACATTGTTTGAAACCAACCCAATGTTATTATTACCATCATAATTAATTATTATACTTATTTTCTGTTGTTTTTTTTACTGTGCGTATATTTGATATTATTCTTAGTGTAAATTTGGACAAGTTCCTTTGCTTAACTCTGCTTATATTTTGATTTGATTAGATCTAATATTATAACATATGCTGAAAATTCCATGCTTATTTATGAGTCTTGATTTTAGAATAAGGGGAGCAATTTTGTGATATCACTGAAATAGGGAAGTTACCAAAACTATCGAGTATTGTATTTGGCGACAGTAATAGATTGTGCAGGTTATTATAATTTGTTAATCGATGTCACCAGTCTTTAGGAATTCAGGTTTATTCGGTTTTTAACACTGTTGATTCGCTTTTGTTTTTGATATCTTGGTATAATTTTGTCGAATGGGGAAATTTATCATAGCATATTCTCTATCTTCTCTGATTACTGCACTTCTGAGGCTTGTCTCCCTTTTTTAAGATCATTTGCTCTTCTTTTACTGTTTGTTACTGGTATCTTCTATCATTTTAGCACTACAGGAGCAAGCAAAAGAACACGCTTTACGCCGTAGCGGCATGCTTATGTCCGATGAGTCAAAATTTCAGTTGATGCAACAACAACAACAAGCCCAAAGACAACTAGCTCTTCTTCAACAACAACAGCAGAATCAACCCTCTGTGGTTTTTTCTCCGGCTGGCGTTATCTATTCAACTCCTTCACTGTTACCTTTTTATGCTACTAGTACTCCATTGTTGTCCAGCATACCGAGTAGTAATGTAGTAGCTGCTGGTAACGTTAGTATCACAGACCCTTCGATGCCTCAACAGGTATCTGCTGACGCTATAATTCTAAGACAGCAACAACAGCAACATCACAGCTTTCTGCTCTTTGTGGAGCTGCGTATCAGCAACAGGTTAGTTTTCGTATTGTATTTTTTGAAATTTCTCTCAGAGACGGATGTAGGAATATATCACTTGATAAATTTGTTTTGAGTTTTGCTTCCCTGTGTTAGCATCAAATATATGTGTGTGTGCCTGACTGTGTTGATCGGTGTTAGTAGAATATATCATGTAGTATTTAACGTCTTTATGGCTCCAGTACAGAGCATTTATTGTGGTTCGAACACCTTAAGCTTTCAAGCGAAGTAGTCTGAACATCATTTTATTGAACACTGTACTATGGAAATAGCCAGCCATCAGTCCTCCTGAGTGGGGAACTGCAGTTCTTGTGATTTAAACTTTTAAATTTTAATCAAATTCATCTCGGAATGCTGTTGGTGAACTTATCCGAAACTCTGTGAATAGTTACATTTATTTGATGGATCAGCGTTTGCGGTTGGTTTGATTTGCTTTTACGTAATCATGGCAAGTGGCACATTGGCTTACGCACTGGATATTGAATCAGTGGATCCTGGGTTTGACCACCATCCCACCTGCTTGAACTTAGGCAACTAGGTTGTATTATCAACCACCACACAATAAGTGTGGTTTGTAGCCTGGTACTGAGTACTTGACATCTAAATAAACTACGCAGTATATTTTGTATAAGGCTATTACATTTTAACACTTCAAGCCACTTCATTTATGAAGTTTTGGGCATTTAGATAATTGTATTTGTCACATTCATCGCGTTGATGTACACAAATTGATATATAATCTCTTAATATACTTGGTGTGGCTTTAATTGGTTTCTGTATTCTGAGATACAGTTTCAGAGTATCTATACAACTTATGATGGAATTATCCGTTCATCTAATTTAGAGTATTCAGGAACAGTTTTCGACGGATTTCGCAAATAATCAGTGTTAAAATTCTTTCCTTTCAGTCGGAAATGCTATTTAGTTTCTCATTTCAAATATGGTGGATTTTTAAGACAGTCTTGATTATCTCTGAGTGGATGATGTATTCTGATGCATGGTTTCAAACTGAAGTGAAAACGGATTTATATCCAATAATAAGTGTTTATGGCATTCTGTGGTTTTGTTTACACATTTTTGAACTGAACTATTGTTGTTCTTCTATATAGGCAAATTCTAATGATCCTACACAATTAATCGTTGGATCAGTAGGTGGTAATCCACATATCACCTCCAGTTTAACAGTAGAACAACCCGCTACGTCATTATCACCTAATTCTATTAGACAAGACGTTAATTCAATATCAGCGTCTATTCAACAAGCACAATTGCAACAACTGTTTGCAGCAGCTGCACTACAGTCAGCCACTCAGGGTAATAATAACAGTGTTCTTCCTGCACAGGTCACAGTTGCTCAACAGCAGTTACTAAATCAGCTAATCGCTCAACAATCCCAGGTAAACTTTTCTTAGCCTTGAAATTGCTTATTTTTAAAAGTTTTATTGAAATTCTACTCTCAGTGATACCGCATAATGTTGTTTTACTCTAATAGTATGCTTTACAAGCGAATTACTGATTGAGATAGTTGAATTGTTTCTGTCCTTGTATTTTTACCCTTTTAGCTGCTTTCCACAAATTATGTTTGTGATCAAATTTTTTTCCGTACAGTATACGTAGATATTAAATGATAACAAGTTATTGAATTTGAATTTATTCTTTACCTCTATGTTCAGTTTATTATTATTATTGTTCCCTTGGGTTCCTAGTGGAACATAGGGCTTCAACTGCACGTTTCCACTTGCTTCTGCTGTACTTTTCACCTGCATGCATGTTACTCCATACTCTTTCAACTCCTCTTCACACGATATCCCTCATGTCACTCTTGGACGTCCCACTCTCCGCTTCCCTTTCGGACTGGTTCCACTCGAGCTATGGCCTGACGCGCGATGTCACCCAGTGGCCTCCTTAGCGAGCGAGTGTCCAATCCATCTCCACTTTCTCCTGCATATTTGTTGGTTGGCGGTTGGTTCTTGTTTTGTTTGTTTGTCCCATAGTTCCTCCTTGGTGATTCTTTCCGGCCCTGCCATCTGATCTTCAGTATAGAGCTAGCGAAGACAGTTGTTGGTTGATAAAGGTCTAGTCTGCAACAGGCTGTTGGAAATATTCTTTGTGACCCGCCCACCAAGTCTCTGATCCGTATAGAAGAATTGACTTGACGCTGTTTGTATTGAAAATCCGACTGAATTTTGTTGTTGATGCTGGTTGAGTGACGAAGATTTCCAAATTGGTTTCAGGTTGATGTATAAGTTTCTCGCCTTCCTGATTCTCGCTCGATTTGACATCCTCGTCCGTTCCTGCTAGCTGTAGTTGAGACAATGCTCCCTAGATAAGTGAATGCAGTAACCTCTTTCAAATCCCTCCCGTTGATGGTGATTGGCGCTGGATGTTGCTGTTGTTGTTGTTGTTGCTTCGTTGGTTAGTTATTTTCATAACCTCTGTCTTGTCTGTGTTCAGTTCATTACTAACTTGAAAATTATATGTTAATATGATGTCGCGATATATATATATATATATATATATATATGTTTAATAAAGTAAGACCTTATTCACCTAGTACACTTCCGTTTACTAATGATTTATCATCTCACATTCAATATTTTAGATATCTGGATTAAATATTGCACCAAATATAGTGACAGCTTCTTTGTTAGCTGCACAACAGCAACAGAAACAATTAATAGCTCAATGGCAGAAACGTGCCCTTGCATTAGCTGCAGCGAGTGCCGCTAATGATCAGCTGAAGAATGCCCAAGAAAAACGGTTATCTACTGTTACCCCGGGCACTAATGTTACCAATCCTGCTGTGGCCACCCCAACCAGTCTGGCTTCTGTTTTGAACGCTGGAAATTCATTATCCGCAGCTATACAATTAGGTCTTTTACGTTCCAATCTCAATGCACAAGCTCTATCCACCAATAGTAGTGGACTGAACACACCCAGTCAAAATCAAGTAGCCGCTGTAGCTGCGTTAATTGCTGCAGCACAGCAACAACAACTACAACAACAGCAGCAACAACAACAATTACAACAACAGCAACAACAACAAATACAACAACAGCAGCTGCAACAAATACAACAACAGCAGCAACAACAGTTACAACAGCAACAAAATCAACAGCATTATCAGCAAGCAACAATTGTTTCCTCTGCTCCACAATTTCCAGTTTCTTCTGCAAATCAAGAGGTGATTTTCGATATTTTGTTTGTCTTCTAATGTCATGCATTTTAATATCCACAATATTTTTCTGATGACAGTAATAATAGTATTCTTGATCCCTCAGTTTCTCAGTTAAGTATATGTCTTCAGAAGCACATTTCTATTTGACTATGTTCACTACAGACTTTTATAACTGGCTCCACGAATGTGTGTTTACTTGCATTTCCTCTACACACTATCTTCTGCATATCGCACACGGGACACCCAACTGGTTGCTTCCGATTCGAGGCCTGGCGCGAGGTGTGTCAACCAACGGTTTTCTGTGCGTATTTCCAATCTGTCTCTATTTCATTCTGCATTATATATGGAGTGAAGGTGACTGTTGATGAACGTCTGAAACTGCAAATGCTTCTAAACTATATAAATGCTTTGACTTGACAGCAGTTTTGAAATCCCCGATCTTGTTCGTTGTCTTGATTGTAGTAGATTTCCACAGTGATTTGATTGTGGTTTACGTAATAATCGATATCGTTTTGAAGTTGTAATGTTGCTTATATCCAGTTATTGCGCATGTTAACATTCAATTTCGGTTACAGTTAATCGGCTAAGCAGTTATTTCTGATTTATTCTGAATTCAATGGCCTTTAGATTCTAGCCCAAATAGTTGAATGGTTAACGACCTTTGTCTTGTAACCTTAATGTCTTAGGTTCGATCCCTGGTGGGCTCGTGGATGTGCTTTAATAAAGAGCTTCGAACTTGGATGAATCAGGTCTCCGGTACGCCCTGGTTTTCAATGATCTCTCTAACTAATGTTGGTTCGTGACGAAATGTACATTGAGGTATGCTGATCGACTGACCAACTGATTTCAACGAAGAACTTAGCACAGTTGTGCAGCAGTTCGAGTTACCATAATCCATGTAGCACACAAAGTAAGAGAAGAGAGTAAAGGGAGATTCAACAAAGAGATAATAAATGGAAATATGAGGTAAAAGGAATAGTGAGATATGCAATACTTCTTTGATGGTTTATAGTGCATATTTAAACCGATGCTTACTTTTTCTAATGAGTGTTGCTTTTTTGGACGAAAAACTGATTAGTTTTTCTTGTTCAGTCAATCATGCATATAGCTTTCAATGTATTTTATCATATTTTTTCTTTTGTCTCTCTCTCTCTCGTTTCTTTGGTAGCTTGTTAATGCTGTACATTCAGCTTTATTGCCACAACAATTGCAACAACGTTTACTATCGTTGCAGGCATCACTTATCCAACAAAAACAGCAGCAGCAGCAACAACAACAACAGCAGTTAGCTGCGATGAATAATGCAACTGCAACTGCTGCAGTAGCTGCTGCCTCAGGGAATGCTGCATTGCTTCAAGCGGTAATTGCATCATCTCAGCAGCAGCAACAACACCAACAACAACTCCAACAACGTCAGCAACAGATTGTTCATAGTCAGTTTCAACAACAGCAACAAGCAGCTTTGGCTGCTATTTTAGCTGCTCAGCGGCAACAGCAACAACAATCAGCTCAAGATCGATCAAATAAGCCTCTGTGATAAAAATTCTTTATTTTTTTCCTAGTGGACTTGTAAACAAAATCTGTATAATTCGAATAAACTGTATATACATACAAATATTAAGTAATATTTAATATTGTACTTTTTGTTTGTTTTTTTTTCTTTAATATACATTGAAATTACTTTTCATTTCAAGTTATTTAGTTGTTATTAGGAAGTAATGAGATTTATGCATTGTTGCTTTGTGAGTGTAGTGTTGAGCGTCGTCCAGAACAGTGAATAGTTAAGGTAAACTGTATCTTTTTCGTTTAGTCGATATATCTATCAGATTTACATTTTTAGTTTCCATGACTCGTGAAACAACAGTCAGTTCATAAGTTCAATTTTTGTGAGAAATTCCACTTTCTCAAAAAAATAGTGCAAAACAAACATAATGGTTTCTTAGAATAATTCTGTAGGAATTTTGTTTGGTATGGCAACTCAAATTCTGCGACGTCGGTGGTATAGCGGTTGGGGAGCTCGCCACCCATGCACATGGTCTAGGGTTCAGTCGCCGGCCGACGCACTCCTTTACCTCGCTAAGCCAGAAATAATGCTGGTAAAGAGGAAAGGTTGGGCATGAGGCTAGTAACCCCATCCTCTAAAATAAACACTGCTGCAGAAACTTCAAGCCACTAGCTTGAAGCCCTATTTTCCATTGTGAACGTGAAGGAAAAAAGAAACTCAACTTCTCACTACATTGCAGAGGATTATGAATAGTTTCGTAATCAGTCTAGGCGTAAAAGCGTATTATATTTTCGGCTCATCGGATGATGATGATGATGATATTAGGTGAAAGAAAGATGTCAGGTTTGCAAGTTAGTTTGAAATTCTGGGTGATTTTTTTTTCACCACAGTTTCCTTTAGAAAGCAAGATTTTTTAGATCATAATATGTGGTCTGTTTTATATGCCAGAAATGGTGTTCTGGAAACCATGCATGAATGCAGAAAACTATATAGTACTGATTGGTTGAGATGAGTGGTCGTATTCCACCACCAACATCATGCAGTAGTGCTTTCTAGCTGGATAGAAGCGATTTGTAGTATCACCACTCCGCCTAAGTTGCTAGACAGAAAACGCGTGATTTTGACTGATTCGGCTCTGAGTTGAGTCAAGCAGGGTACATTACCGATGAAGTCGACCCCAAACTAGCGAAATGGTCATCCGCGATCTGGCTAGGAAACATTACTGATTGATGTGCATGGTCTACTACTACTCATCCCAACCAATCAGTAGTGTGTAGTTTAACATAGATACAATGGTTGCAAATGTTGATTAGTACTTTAAGTCATTTGATATTAACCTTTAAGTGTACATTATCAATTAACATGAAAGTGTGCGTGTCTGTGTGTGTGTGCCATCTTCGTGTTTCTGGACGAATTATCTGGATACTAGCGGTTTTTATGCAATATGTTGACTAGTATCATACTTTGTGGAGGATGAAAAAACTAATTTTTGGTGAACATGTTGGATTTCGTTCACGTTGCGAATGTATTGACTGTGGTTTCACATAGCACTAGTCGCCTGAACATCATCCCTCACTTTACAAGTTAATCATTGATGTGTTGCATAGAATTATTTCTGGTACTGTACAACAGATAAAGAGGACCTGATGTTTATGTTAGCAACCAATAAGCGGTGTATTTAAGTATTGAGGATTAAGTGTAGGCATAGAAATACCCGTCTTTTTTGTTTTAAATGTATAAGGATTAGACAGAATTATATTGCCACGATTAGTCAAAGCTACTGTTCAAGGCATTTATCGACCACTTTCCAATGTCGATTGAGCAAATAATCGTAGTTAGCTGTGTTGCAGCATAAATTTCACGCCAATTATTCACTGTCGCATTCTCAAAGAATGCTATTCACTTAAAGATTGTTTAGTATGAAGTTTAGGTTTACAAGGGTGTTGATAACGTGTGCTTTTGTGTTTTTTTTGCTGACGTGACGATTAGCAGTGTTGAAAAGCTTACAGATAGTTATTTACGAAGTGGGAGCAGTGTACATGCACGGAAAACAATTGTAACAAACACTATCTAATCGACGTTCGTTTTTATTGCTGTTCTCTTTGGCGTAAAATGATAAAAATCTTTTTTTTGTTTTGCAACTATGAAACCTAGTTATTTTTGATGTGTGGATGTTGAATAGCTGATTCATTCACTATGGTCCATCAATATGTGTTGAAAGATTGGTATCTGCTGTGCCCCCTTACAAATGCCGAACCATCGATTTTCTAAACGGATATTTCTTCAAATCAACGGTGATTTTAAAAACTTGGGGAGATGTCAATTCATAGTGTAATGTCCGACCTGATTATTACAAACAAACAGAAGATCATACATCAACAATTGACTGACCCTTAAAAAACAGTCGAGCATACTTTTTACTTCCGCACTAGGGAGTGTTATTGTACTACTTGTATTTCACGATTCTGTATCTCAATCTAGTTAAATCAACCGTACATTTGTAGAATCCACACCAACCAGGCACATGATCCGTATTCGGTTCTTGGCTGGTGTAATCCTAAACCTCGCCTAGCCATTCGTAAGCCGGAGAAAAAAAGGAGGATGGGGTTGTTAGGTTAGCAATCCCATTTCACTAATACAACATCACCGCTACTGAAACTTCAAAACGTGAAGTTCCATTTTCCGCTTGGAACACTATAGGGATGGAAAGAAAAGAAATTTATTTAAATTTTATTTGTTTATTGCTGCGTTTTGACATAATCTCTGACTACTCACATTGTTCTTTTACTACCCTTGTACGGCTTCTCAAACGCGAACTATATTAAACCCTGTGGTTTTGTAAACAAGTCTGATTGATTAGAGCCTTTTTTATTTCATTTGTCTTCTGTTAATTTAAATTGCCAAAGATGAAAACTTAAAAGTGATGATTGTAATAACTGGAACAGATAGACGTGGATAAAATTAAAGCTTGTGAATTTTTTTTATCTTTTGAAGATAATCATGGGAAGAAGAAACTTGTATTTTCAATTTTTATTTCTTTTTGTATTGTATACTGTTAATGCATGTTAAAACGAATGCCTGTGCGTTGGTGGCACAACTGTAGAATGCTCGCCGACTACTCATGTGGTCTGGGGTTCGATTCCCGGCTGACTCACTTCTTTAACCCACTAAGCCAGTAATAAGACTGGTAAAAAGGGAAGGTTGGGCATGAGGTTAGCAGCCCTATCCCGTAAAAAAGTAAATACCACTGCTACTGAAACTTCATGCCTTTAGCTTGAAACCCTATTTTCCACTGAAAATGTAAAGGAATAAAAAACGAAATGGATGGGAACAGGAATAAGGAACCGTGAATTCATTTTATTTCAGGATCAAACTACTTACCAAAGATAAAGCGAAAGGAATACTAATCCACGGGGGTTAACTCTAAAAGGTTGAATGACATTAAGTTGTTTAATAAAAGAAACAAATTTTTCAAGTATAGAACAGCTGATAGAAATAAGTTATTTTCACGAATAAGTCTGTAGGGATTCAGGTTAGATCAGACCTAAATCAATAGACCAGTGGGCTCCATCCAGTCGGGAGTGAGGGTAGAGTTCTCAACCAATGACATTGGTTGGTGGTCACACTAAGATCACGAATTGATAGAAACTAGAATTCGTGGGCCATTGAATCGGGTCCCAGTGGCTGAATGGCCTACCAGCTTGTCTTGTAATCGTAAGGTTCTGCGTTCGAAACCGAGTGGGCGAGTATATGTGTCCCAAACTAGGATGAAACAAGTGTCTGGCGGTACTCCCTGGTTTTCAGTCGTTCTCTAATATCAATCTGTGTTCAAATCTGAAAAAAATGAGTTAATGGATTTAAAAGAATTTTATAATATTTTGTTAATTTGTCTAAAGACAAAGGAAAGTTTAGTGCATTAGGGCAGGTAATGTCTCAATTATATGAATAAATTGGTTATTCCAGATGTTAGGATTGATATGTTTCACCTGAGAGGTCCTAAAAGAGGTTATCTTTCTCACACACTTGGACGCCATCGTTCTAACACTACAGCTGACACGGATGATTGATTTCATCGAAGCTTGGATTGAGAAACATTCCATTGTCTTTAAATCCATATGAAGACCTGTAGCACTTGGTACAAGGAAAAACATCCATCATACCAGTTTTCCAAGTCAGTGCTTCTATATCGTTCAGAAATTCGGCCCATATGGGAATAAAAAGCATTTCCAACAGATTGCAGACTTTCATCACCAAATGTTTCCACTGGATATTGAAGACTAGTTGGCCGTAAAGGATAAACAACAAGGATTTCTGGCAGTTCAGTGAACCAGCCGAAAACATATTGCTTAACAAATATGCGGAATGGAATGCAGGTGGATTGAACACAAGCTGAGAAAACTCATTGCCTTTAAGTGAAACCCGAATGGGAAGCAACGACTTGGTGTCCGAGAGTAACATGGAGGAGTTTGTGTGAGGAGGAAGTGAGGGTGTGAGATCAACTTTGGAGCTAAAATTAAGAAGACTGCAGATGGTCTGTTGAAGCAAATATTACTCAGCCGGGAAAATCTTAAACAGAGTAATCATATAAACTGCCAGCGATTTCCTAGAAGCACAGTCCTTATATCAATTTAATTACTATGAATATATACTTAATAATCGGTACAGGATAAGTTACAGGTTCAAAGCGTCAACAAGGCGATCACTATTAAAACATATGAAGACAATCCTAAGTAAATCTTCTGGGAGAAGCAATAATAATCGAGTAAACCAGTCTAAGTCTTAGTTCGAACCCCGGAGGGTGCGTACTGATGAAGAGTCCCAAACTAGGACGAAACAGCTGTTCAGTACTCCCAGGTTTTCTAATGGTTCTCTAACTACTGTCAGCTCATGATGAAATCCTGTAACCAATCAATCAAATCCCTACAAACCAATACTTGAATGCTAACATAATCGTTTCATTTCTCGTTTTACATTTATATTACCAATATTGAGATTGATTTTAATCGGTTAAATTGATTAAAAAGAAGTTTGAA